GCGAGGCGGTCTCTATCCCTGGGGCTGTTCCATTGGCCATCCCACTTCATTATTTTAAGCAGACTTCAAAGCGAGCCTTAATGCAGCAGCCTGTGCCATGGTGGTCCGTCTGGTGACTCTCTTCTCCTGCACACTCACTGCATGGAAAGACAAATGGACCTCTATATGTTCTTCCTTGTATCTTACACATGGCGAGCATATGCGTGCGTGTGTGTGTGCGTGTGTGTGCGTGTGCGTGTACGTGCATGTGAGTGTGTCCAAAATAACCTAATAGAAGCCGGGGGGACACAATGGCCCGTGATTGAGGAGGATTCAACAAAGTGGAAGACACTGTCTAAGCCCTCCCTCTCCGCCTTCATCCCCTCTGCCTTCATTTTCTCCAGCTCTCTTTACCACAAACCAGCCAGCCAGCCAAGCAGCCAGCCTGCTAATGTAGTTAGCTTCCCTCTAATGATGGTGAAATCTCATTAATATGCTTCACAGCTGGGCCCAGTAACCAGTGGGGATGAAGGTAATCAAATCTCAGAGGACTAACCTAGAGCTGAACCTCAGGAACTACTCAGCAGCACTGGGCAGAGGCAGCCCAGGGTCTGGAGGCTTGATAATAGCCGGTGGGCTTGTGTCTGTGTGTGTGTCTTGGTCTGTGGTCTTTTGGTGGTGATGCCTTTGAAGTGCTGATGTTAGCCAGGCTATCTTTTGTCAGCGTTACAGCTCAGGCTAGTTCATCATCAGAATAGATTTCATTTCAGTGTTGTGGATATTTGTCCATTTAAGTCTAGTCATGCGGTAATTGCTTATGGAGGATGTGGCTGTGAGGGCGCGGCTTTGCTCTAAGTGCACTTGTGGCTCATGATGTATGCAAAGTGAATCTGAGGAGCGGCATTACAGACCACTCACACTTGAACTTAATTAAATCACCGGTGCTTTGGCTCTGAGTTTGAGAACACCACACCACGCTACATTAAGCTATTAAGATAGCTGGGGGCTGCACACATGCACACACACGGTGTGTTTATAATACTTGTCTGTGAATGTGAATATCAAAGGGGAAATCTAAGTAAATTAAATCTAAGGGCTTTGACATAGTGGTTTGAGATAAATCTGGTGTTAATTCACTGCCAACTCGCACATTATTTAGGCCAATGAATAATAAGAACATTCAGAATGAGAAGCAAAATAACTTTTAATACATCATTACTGTAAATGTGCCAGAGTTAGCTGAAAGGATATTTTTCAGCCATAGTCAGTGGTCAGATGTTACACAGACACAGCCTCCTTTAAACGGACTTCTACTGTTTCAACACAGTGCAGTGTCAGGGTTGTTTTTTCGCTGGTTCCACCTGACGGCCTGTGCTGTTTATTCCCTCTTCTGGGACTGGTCTGACAGCATACCAGGCTGCAGACTTGAATCCAGCCTTGTGTCTGGATAACAACAATTGCCATGACCATATGGTTCATGTGGTTTGTGTTTCACCTCCTCGCCAAAGTACAATAGATTCCTTATCAGTAACTCCTTACTGTTTTTCATTTAAACATTATTTTCAGGGCTGCGGGTTCCTGTGCCTGTATCCCCGAGCAAAGCGGGGCGTTATTGTCTATTCATGCTCGCTCTCTCTTGGCTGAAAGAATGATATTCTAGCTGTAGTTCGTGTATTAGTTACCGTGGGGATTTCGCAGGCACTGAAGGGTCTCCGGCCTGGAAACCTTGCCAGATATACAAATTTCCAGTGTTAACATGTTGCAAGGATATCAAGAGAAGCTCTCCAGGCTAGCGTGAGTCAGTTCTTCCACTGTTGTGCGTTATGATTTCGTGGATCACACAATAGGCAGGCTTGTGTGATGGTTGGTGTTGATCAGAGTTTGGATGCAGGCTGGTGTTGAATAATGCCTGGGTGAGGACTGCTGAAGGGCTAAGTAGCTCCGTCCTCTCCGCTGAGCCTCGCTGCCTCTCTGTCCACAGGCTTGCCATTGTTTTGCTCCATGCCTCAGCTTGACAGGGCTCCAGAAGCCAGCCATTGTATTTAATTACAGTCGCCAGCCCCCTCACAGACTCTTGTCCTTGTGTCCCAGATTTCCATGGGTGCTCTCATTAAGACTGTGCATTCTGTGTGTGTGTTTATGTGTGTGTGTGTGTCCGACCGATTAGGCTTTTTTAATGGCTGAAGGAAAGCCCTTAGCCTGTGTAAATGTCAGTATGGATGCAGTTTTTAAGTTCATGTGTATGTGTGTGGGTGGCACATCTGTTTGTCTGTGCGTTTCTAATGAAGGCAGCTTTAATGTGGATGAATAGCTCTGTGGTCGCACTAATAATGCAGGGCTGTAATCAGTCCGCATCAAGAGAGGCAGAAGAGCGCCGAAAACTGTGAATGGTTTTTTTTTGCTAATGAGAAAATATGCCATGTTATGTAAGAGCTGTTCTATTTAAGTTTAATTTGTTTGGCATGAGTGTGGCGATGGCATAGCCCAGTGGCATGAGCAAAGACGACCCGTAATGACACCAATAAAATGGCAGTGAGAAGCAAAGCGCGGACTCTCACACTGTCCACAATCTGTCCTCCTCCGGTGACTGAATCCTTCTGCTCCTCTGCACAAAATCACCTCCGCAGTAAAACAAACTGTGCACACGCTCTCGCAAAATGAGTCAGACCTTTCCCGTTAAGTCGCCTGAAATTAATAAACTTTATAATTGTTTTCAAGGCTTTAAGTTAAATCCTGACAGATGTTTGTGTTTGTGCGTGTGTTCGGTGCGCACGCATGTGTGTAATAGAAATGAATCTAAAAACCTGAGGGAGGAACATGAAAATAGTCATGCAGTCACTTACTCCCTGTGTGTTCTCCACTTTTATCACTTCTCCCCCTCCCTTCATTTCCTCCCTCTATCATTTAAAGAGTATCTCTATCTCCTTTTTCACATTTCCCTTGTTGTTACTGCAATATATGTCTTCATAATAAGTGTGTCTCACTCCTGGCTGCAGTCCATATTGTTACAAGTTGCCTGTCACGCTTTTTCTTTGAAAAATATTTAAAGCTGATTCCGTCTCGACCATGAATCACCCTTTTCACTCCCATATCGGCCCGTTTACACCATGAACTGAAAATGTTGCTGCTGGTGTGAAAGTGACATATGACATCTGGGCCTCATAAATGTAATGTCTTAATATCCCAGGCCTGATTGGGTGTCACTGTTAGGTGTTGCAATGTGAGCTTTATTGCTGTTTAGCTTAACCGTCCCCGCCATTTGAAACCCACTTGGATATGCTGTGTGTTTTTTTCCTGATGGCTGAGATAGCAGGCGGGCTTTGGAAAGGCTAGATTTTGGTGTAAGGAAGCCTTGAACATATCTGGGCATCAGGTTGGTTTATTTTAGTTGTTCTGAATGTAATCTTCCCCTGCGCCATCTGCTGCATGCGCATGGAGATTGGCAAGCTGAGACCCGCACACAGACACTATAATTGGAGCGGAAAGCGCGTGTGTGTGTTAGCGAGAGAGAGAGAGAGAGAGCGAGAGAGAGAGAGCTAGAGCAAGAGAGAAGAAATACTTCATCCATGCTCAGTGTGCAGTGTGATTAGTCTTGTGTGTGCTGCGAGTGCAGTGTTTGTCCGCGGCACCGTCACGTGGAGTGAGTCCTCGCCTGTACTACGGTCCTACTGAACCAGGCGGCTCTGTTAAATATAGATGGCTTATTTACACACCAGCACTGAGCTGCAGGCAGCTCCTGAGCCGCTTGTCAACCTCCCCAATCCCTCCTCTGTTGAGCTGCTGATGCTGGGTGGAGCAGTGGGGCTGGGAAGATGCACACATGCATATAGTGTAAACAGAAGTACATCGCAACCGCTGGTGCATTTGACAAGTTAATCTATTCTCTTAAATGAAAAAGAGTTATTGGCATCAGTATGAAAAAACGATGCACTGCTTTACTCACAAGCTCATAAAGGCAGCAGTTGCAAACAGGGATTATACACTTATTTGGTAAGCTACAGGCCACAGGGTGCAGGTCTGCGCTGTGAATGTGTGTTTTTATATTTGATTAAAGAGCCTTGTTTTGTAACACACAGGATATTGAGGGCAAAGTCCAATACATATTACATGTAGGCAACAGCAGGATACTTCCCCACGATCCCAGGCCACTTTGTTTATCATGTACAAGCACACCAAACATGGAAGCCTACAGAGTGCTCATGTGTTTGGTTTGTCATATTAGCCCTTACCGCATGAAGACTGTGTGTGCTCAACCTCTCTGTGTTTACCAGCCTGTTATTGATTAAGAATGAGGTAAGTGTGTGCGTTTGGTTCGGGGGGTAAACAAGTTGCATGGTCAGAAGCGGAGAGAGAATTCTGCACAGCCTTGTCTGCAGTATTTGGTACTCCCGACTGGTGATGATGATATGATTATTTGTCCTTTTAATATTTTAGAGCACTCGCACTTATGAAGACTGCACAATTTTTAGAAATAAATAAAAGCACAACTACAGGCCTTGTATCAGAGGAGAAAACCTGTCTTTGAACCCTGCTAGCAAAGCAGCTCCGTGCTGTAACACACACACGCACAAGACAACATTACAGCAGTAAGTAGGTATCCAGCAGAGGCTGCTTTCATTGGTGCTTTGATGATCTCTGGGTGCATGTGTGTTAGAGAAATGTTTGTTCTTTGAAGACATTTCGCGTTGTCTTTCCTGTGGCGGATCTGGAAACGCCTGATCAAGAAGTTGTCCTTGCACTTGCACTTTTTTTTTTTTTCTCCCAAACACATTGTTAGAAAGTGAGTTAGTTCCCCTTCTGGTGATTTGTATTAGATGTCGTCAGCAGCGTATCTGTCTGGACTGGGTTGTTTAAGATCTGTGTGTGTGTGTGTGTGTGTGTGTGTGTGTGTGTGTTTGTTTGTGTACACATAAGGTTGTGAGTTTATCCCACTGATATCGATTAATGCTCCATGCCTGTCAGCACTCCATCTGACAGACATGTGTTCACTAACCCCTCTTGTTGCTCTTTCCTCTCCGCAGCGATAGAGACCCAGAGTACCAGCTCAGAGGAGATAGTGCCAAGCCCGCCCTCACCTCCCCCACCGCCCCGCGTCTACAAACCCTGCTTTGTGTGCCAGGACAAGTCCTCAGGGTACCACTATGGTGTCAGCGCCTGCGAGGGCTGCAAGGTGAGACTTCCTCTGAATCTGCCAATAAAGCAAGATGTTCGTCAATCTTGTAACCATCATGTGATTTGCAGTTGGAAAAAAATACAATCACGTCTTCACAGCCAAAGCTCATGCACGTCATTTGGAACATTTCATTAGTTTTTCAGTGTTTAATGCTGAAATTTAATGTAATAAGTCAAAATTGGAGAATCATTCTCTAATATTATTGGTTGTTTTATTGAGCTGCCTAATTATCAGTATGACCTGAACAAGCTGTAACAGCCTCTTTATACTGATATCTATAGACATCGTAAAAAAAAAAAAGATAACACATATGATGGATCTGCTTCGTATCACGTAGTTTGTGAAACTCTGTCATCCGTGCAGGTCTTTTCTTCTTGAGTGTTGTTGCTACACATACCTTTGCTGACGTGTCCACATGTCTGTTATCAATACAGCCCTGTTACACAGGTGCTGAGGAGGCCTCATAACCCCCATCTGCTCTGTTATCAGTTGATAGTTGCTGTGCGCATGCTTACACGTCTCCTGTTCGAGTGAGCACACACACTTCTTTATCTCGCTGCTCCCAAGACTCGGAGTTGTGTAAGCTCAGAAGAGGATGGGGATGAGAAGGAGGGATCTGTGGAATTTAATATAATGTTACCACCATGCACAAACCTTACATCTCCACCATGGCCACATTTCAGAAACCACGTTTTTTTTTTGGTTTTTTTTGCGTGGTGATCATGCATTCTTGAACCAAATAGGATTTCCACTTCTACTGACAGCAGCTCTGTCTGTAGCAAGAGGAGGTTGGGAGTGGTTGGATGAAGACAGGCAGGGTGTTGCTGATGGTGACAGGTGCCTGCAAGACCCTCTGACTTATTGACTGCGGAGCCAATAGTGTGGTCTGTGTTTCCATATGTGCAGGAATAGGAGCGGCGCGGAGGGAGGGAGGGAGGGAGGAGAGGAGTAGAGCAGACAGAAAAAGCAGGCAGGAGACAGTGGCAGTAACAAACAGTATGAAAGAGTAAGGAAGGGCAGGAACCCAGGGGGGAATGTAGAAATGCAGATGAAACCGTGCAAAGATGAGAGAGACTGCGGGGGACTGAGATAGCGAGTGCGAGAGAGCAGACTGTGCTCCGGGAAGCATGAACAGCCAGAAAGAGAAAGAAGTGGGTAATGGTTGGAGGGGCAGCAGATTAGGCGGATGGGGTACAGGGGCCACAGTTGAACTCATTGACACCAAAAGAAAGACGGTCAGCACGGCAGAGCACAGGAGGAGGGGGGGGGCTGGATGAGTAAAGAATGCACAAAGGGGAGGAGAGCACAGCAAAGGCAGGAGTCTGGCACACACATACATACATACAAAGGCATTACCCTTTAACACAAACCCTCTGAGTGCTCTATGAAACTTAACCTGCTCCCCGAATGTGACTTATAAAAAGTTAACAAAGTAAATAAAAGCTGACCCCTGTGCTGTTTTATAGGGCAACCACACTGCTGCTGACTGTGCAGCTTCATGGGTCCTGGGGATGTTTAATATGTCAAATGTAAAATATATTTTTTCTTAATTTAAAGTTTGTTGAAAGTGTCTTTTTTAAATTGCTTAGCCTGAAGTAAATTCACATCAACCTATGTTATATACTGTTATTTTATGCAGGCTTGTGGAAATATATCCTTGACTGTCAAGGCTAGTCAAATCATAAAAGTAAAGCTAGAAAGAAGAGGTGGGGCGTGTGTGTGTGTGTGTGTACGTGTGTGCACATATACAACAGAGTTTATCCATGGGTGTGTGTGAGAGATAAAGAAAGGGGAAGATGGTGTGTGGTTTTCCTTGCCAAGATAATCTTGTGCAGTGTGTGAAGTACCAAATTGTTCAAGAAAATGTAATCCAGTTTCATAATTGGTCAGTGTTTCTTAACTAGTGTTTGTACAGACTTACCAATTTCGTATTTTGAAACAGTTTGGCACAGGTAGCAGATTTGGTCGTGGGAAACCTTCCACGTTGCATGAGTTTGTCTGTATGTGTTAAGCCTGCAACAGGATGTTCTCCACCTTTTTCTCAATGCTCAGGCTCCAGCTGTTGGTACAAATTGCAATTTTTATGCAACTATGCCCTAAAATTTCATCTCAGAGCCTGTGTCAGAAGCGTGCATCATCTCACACGTAAATCATTAATATGATATACTTAAAACAAATGTGTTGCTGTTTGGTTCAGTGCACAGCTACCAAACTAGCTGCTTTATGTATCTTGTATTCAAAAGCAATGACCTTAATCTCAGAAGGTGTGCAGCAATTCTGCCGCCATTTCAAACCCTAATCTGCTTCTATTGTGTTCTATTTAAAATTGCTCCCCATCATCAGAGCATCTCAATAGAGTTCTAAGTAAGGTAATAAGGCTAAATCACAGCTCCTGATGAGATTGTGTGAGTGGGTGTGTGGTTGTGTATAAAGGTATTACTGTCTGTTCCGTGGCTAAGCAGTGGTTGTGCAGTATTAATCAGTCGCATGCATTATAGCAAACTGGCAATGAATGGAGGGATGTTGGGTTAACCGATAATCGATGATACAGTTGAAATGAAAATGTTAATAGAAGTAAATATTCTGGGTTTACATATAAAATTGTGGTTTAGTTTGTCAGTAATAATTCCTGTAAAACTAAAACCCCAAGTCATGAGCAGTAAATTTTAATTTGTTTTCATCCCAAAGGTCTATTCCAGACAAAAGAAATATTTACAACATGTTATGCACACAACAGTGTGACACGCAGAAGGAAAGGCAGAAACTAGACAAGCACAGAAATTGTGCCAGATTTGACACTGTAATTAGCTTTTTGAGGCTTTTGTACATTGGGGAGTTCACTGATGTTTTAATCTAACAGCCAACAGACGATTTTCAGTGCAAATGATTTCAGAACAATGATAAACAATGATTTAAGTATCACCTTCAGTTGTTAACACTCGCTGCAGCCTGAAATGTGAAATAACCACATCTCAGGTAGGATAAAAATTTCAGCTCCCTCAGCCTTTGGCATTAATTTCATATAATGTTTCTGCACAACCCCAACAGGAAGCTCTGCCTGCCTCCTCTGCTGAATGTAATTAGTTTCCAGGATATATTATGGCTGAGTTTGATTATTTTTAGAGATGAGAGGCCACATGCATAAAGACGGAGTACAAACAGCAGCAAAGTGGTAAACATTCGCTTCAATAACATGCTGAAAGAATAATCGGATACACTGATTAACCGCAGAAGAAAAAGCTTTTAAGTGTATGTGGAGGTGGTTGCACCTTGGAATGGGACGTTTTAACAGTGAAGCAACTGTTTGGGACGAGGCCAAAGGTCTCAGGCTTGAACTCAGGACAATACAATATAGCTATGATCATATTTGTATACTGTCTCGGATGTGAAAACAAAGGTCAATAATCTAAAATTCTCCATTATATTTGCAATTGAAACACAGTGATAAGAGTATCAGGTGATAGATGAACCATGAATGTTCACCTGTTCCTTAATTACCTTTATCTTAATTACCTGATAACTGGTACTGGACTCTGCTCTGCTGAATAGTAAAGAGTTCATTAGGACTAATCATTAGAAATGTTGCCTTAAACTATGAAGATGTCCCTAGTTGGACAGCTAGCTGCCAGTTGTCTGTCCATGAGCCGGCTGTCTGCCCCCCTCAACAGCCGCAGTGCTAATTTGAAAAATTCAGGATGCCTTCTCCGTATCTCTGACTTCAGAGGAGATGACTTGGCATAGCACACTCAATAATTCAACACTACAGGCATGTGAATGTATATGGTTGCCTCATCTGAGACTGGGGTAAGTCGGGGGTTAGCAGCGTCTGCTTTGCTGCAGCATGCCAAACTACAAAGGCATTTCCTGGGGGCTGCAGCGAACAGAGGAAACGGGAGCGGGGAAGTTGAGCTGTGCTACTTGGAGACAGCTCATTCGTTTGTTGTTTTTAGTTCTGCCGCCCGCACATACTCAACGGCATTGCACTTCTTTTTCCCCTGCAGATATTACCCCCTAAACATTAAATTTGCATGCCCACCCCCTCATGTTTATGTTTTTATCTTGAAGGCAAGGCAGCACGCGGCAGGCGACCTCTCCTCCTGGTATCCGCTGCAATGGGAGAGAAGCGACCGTTTTTCCAAAGTCCCTATCTGCCACTTTTTGCATGAATGTCCTCTATTTGCAGCGTTTTTCAGATGGCCCTCTCACAAAGCATCCGTCTTTACTAATTTGTGGGCTGTAGCAATAGCTGCTTAGTAATAGCGGCAGGGGCACAGGCACACACACATCGACACAACATGCACAGTAGGAGGCTGGGAACGCACTCTTAATCTGGGCACAGTGTGAAAGTCACGTAAGAGAGGATTCCTCTGCTTCCCTGTGAACTCCATAACCCCAGACCCCCTCCCCTATTTCCCTCTTAATGAAGCATTTTCTCGCACACAAGCAAAGCAGAATTCATGCACGCACTCATATATGCATGAGGCTCGTAACGATCGGCAGGTAGACAGCTGTGAATTGAAGAGCACATCGTGCATGCAATCATGTATGTGCTGTAACCGTTCGCTCCTCTTTTTCACCCCTCCCTCCCTCTCCCTCTTCTTGCGGCTCTCATCTCTTCTGAACACTGCAGGGTGGCTGACAGGCCCGCTGAGGGCTCTTGTCGCCGGGTGGATTAAGCGGTGATACAAAAAGAGGCTTAAGGGCTGCAGGAAGCAATGACTCCTAAAAGAAGGGTGGTAGGGGAGGGGGCGTAGGAACAATCAACTGGCCCACGAGCCAGAAGGAACAGCCAATCAGGAGGTCCTGTGAGAGGGCACCTGAGACTCATGGTGTCAGGAGGGAGTGGGCCAATCCCCTGGTGACACTAGGGTCAGGGTCAGGGCACCGTCGGATCAAAGAGGACATGATACACGCACACACAAAGACCACAGACTTTATCCCTCAGCATCAGCTGCTAGAATTAATGTCAACCTAAGTCTTATTCCCTCCACTTAGTTGTGCGGGAGATAGCAGTTTGCAGGGATCTGCTGTTTCTCAACATTAATAATAATATATTTTATGTGACAACAGGGTGGAGAGCAAATGAAGTCAGGACAAAGGTTAGATGAGGTGACCTTCTACGGCCTGAAACACTTCCTCTTCATGTGTAATCAGTCCCATCACGCACACTGGTTGCACCTTGCTTAAACTGATACATGACAAAGAATACACACTTCCTCTTCGTAGAACATCAGAAGGCTGAATCACTTCCACTCTGTGGTGGCGTACGGGAGACACGAGAAGAGGCTGGTGATCCGGGAAGGACAAATTGCGGGCTTAGGTCCACCGGCCATCTGTCGGCTAGCAAAGCTAATCCTTCGGCATGGGATGGGGCTCCCTGGCAGCAACCCCGCCACACCACACCACACCACACCACACCACACCACACTCCACCCCACCTCCCTCTAGCTGTAGCTGACCCCACCCACCCTGCTACCCAACAACACATAACCCATGTCCCACTGCGTCACATCAATACTGACATTGACCTGTATTACATTTGTCCCGAGCTGTGCTTGCTGAGTGCTCACTCAGTTGTGGCTGATTTGCATTAACCTCTTTTTATCTTTTTGACACACAAGGCATGTTTAAGCAATAAGGGCACAGAGGTTAACATTGATTTTATTGGGGTTGAGTTGAATTAAGGAGAATATAAGTTGTGATGCATGGATTTCCAAAAGGTTTGTCGTTTTTTACTCTGTGTAACACATGGGGAGCATTTAGATGGCTTTTTCGTTCCAACGCACAATTTTTATGTTAACATTATTCAAAATCAGAAAATCATAATGGGAGATGGTTTTAAAGGCAAAGGTTTTTAAAGGTACCTAATTTTGATGAAAAGATAGGGTCAGTTTTCTCCTTCATATCAGAAACCCCAGCTGTGGTTTCTTATTTAAGGCTTAGCTATCTTGTTGTAGACTTTTGTCGTCACTTAATTTATGACCCAATATTGTTATCTTATTTTTGGCAGTTAAAGCGGCTGTTAAAGTTCATAAGGGGAGGATCTGAATTATTACTGAGGGATGTGTGTTTCATGTGGGAGGCGTGTTTTGATCCGTTTCTATGTCTCGCTTTTGCGCAATCAAAACATATTTTGTCTCCCCAAAGATCTCCCATTTCTGCCCAGTGACCGAAGATGAGCTCATTATAATTCGCCCGCCCCGTACGCTTGGACAACATTTTTAAATCCATTCTCTGATTTGTTTTGATCCCGTTAAGTTGAAAAGGGGAACACGGGAAAAGAGGGATTCCTTTTTGTTTCTTCCACATCATTTCCAGCCAATCGGCTCTCTTTCTGCGCTTGGCCTGGATCTACAGTTGCTTATTTCTGGCTGTGTAAACGAGGCCGTGCTTACATGGCACCCAGTCACCCTGTGCCTTTTGCCCCAAAAACCTTCAGACCTGAATCACCTCGAAAAGCATTTTTGTGTTGTGTAAACGAACAGGTGGCACCCTCATGAAATGACTATTAGTCTCTGTCCTCTGTCAAGGGTTAAGCCCTTTAAGGACTTAACTGTTTCGTAGTTCATTGCCTTTTAATTGCAGCTGCATATGGCCATTCTGCATGGCCTCCTTTTAATTTAATATGTTTTAACCTTGCAAGTGTTTTACAGTTTTTTTGTTGGGAACTGGGTGAAAGAGGACACTGTAAACATGGGCAAGATATCAGCAACAGGCAACCGAAACATGTAATAAAAGCAGCAGTGTTGGCAGATAACCATATGACAGGTGGATTCACTAGAACAAACAGCACAACTGTATTTGCTTAGTAATTTGTTGCTCGATTTGCTTAGACCGTCCGGTTTCCCTTGCTCCTCTCTTACCGCCCAACCCTCCTCCAAAACCTGTCCCGTCTCCTCATCGCCCTCGTCTCCGTCTTTCTGTCACGCAGGGCTTCTTTCGGAGAAGCATCCAGAAGAACATGGTGTACACTTGTCACCGGGAGAAGAACTGTATCATCAACAAAGTCACCCGCAACCGCTGCCAGTACTGTCGGCTGCAGAAGTGCCTGGAAGTGGGGATGTCCAAGGAGTGTAAGTATAAAAACCAAATTACCCAGAAAGCCCTGCTCCCACAGGGCTCTTAGGGCAAAGCACAGATTTCATCATAGTTGTTTAATCCCAGAGGGGTTAGCGTGATTGTGACCCCTGCAGAAAATCTTAAGTTGAAGCATTTGTTGACATTTTTTCCACTACTGACATTGCATAACTGTTCACTATTGATGCAAGCACATCAGTTTGGCAGTGATTCCAGCGTGTACACACTTATGTTGTCATTAGTTGATGACTGCACTTAGTGTTCATGTGGTATCCGATCAGATCCCATCAGTTTTTTTTAATGAGAAAATTCTCTGACCTTTGGTGTTTATCATAACAAAGTCAGAGTGAAATCAAAGCTGTTACTATTCCCTGTTAGCTGTTACCCTTTGAGCTGATTCTTGTAGTTTTACTTTGAAGAAAATATCCGCTGTAAAAGCGAGACAAAGGGCAGCCGTGATGCAGACTGGCAGTAACAGTCAGGGTGTCGCCAGGCTTGGCAGGCCTCTGTGATGAATATGTTCTCACCTGCCGAGAGTGAAAGAGCAGGCGTCTGCTCCCATCATTGCACCCCAGGGGCTGTGTGAACATACACACTCACACGCACACACACACACACACACATACACACACACACACACACACACACACACATATGCACACACATACGCACAGGCAGTCAGACTTGATAAAGTAATTGGTAGAGGTGTGACCACAGAGAACTCAGAGGCCAACAGGGTTTCTACCTCAGCCTGATCACATGACACACTCTCTTACACACACAGACAAACACTCACTCATGTGTATAGGATACAGTTGGACCCATAAATACTGTTAAATACTCAGTAATAGGAAATATATTAATAATATACATTTGTGGACAGAAAGTGTAGCACCTCTCCTCCTCTCACAGGCTCACGTCTGTTAAAACACACACATGCACTCAGCCTCCATTGCTCCGTCCCTCTCCGCCTCCCGTCTTCCCAGCGCTATTTACCTCATCTTTGCGGTGCAGCGAGTGCAGGGAGCGCTCCCCATGCCACAGCACTGTGGTTTACAGTAAAAGAAGTTATCCTCCGAGCTCCTTACCTTTGAATGGGGCCATTAATCATGGTTAGAAGGATCACAGCAGCCGGCTCTTTTACGCACTCTCACACACACAGTTGCAACCCAGCATACAATAGGGGGATAGACTGGAGTTGGAGAGCCATCTAGTGGTGACGAGGTAGTACTGCGTGAGCAAAAAATTGGCATAAACGGGTTTTTGACAGGATTCCAAGCTGGAAATTTTATTATTGGCTAGATTTCGACCCACCTTTGCTCAGCTGGTTTTGGTTTTAATAGTTCTGCCTTTTTCCGATTGCGGTCATTTTGTGCAGAGTGTGCAGATTGCTCCTCTTGTGTCCTCAGCAGTGACTTTGGCCAGTGAAAGTAGTCTGGACTGGTGAGGAAGGAGAGGCTGGCCATCTGGGCCCAGCAGGGAGTCTCCCTGCCTCTTACACACACACACACACACACACACACACACACACACACACACACATACACACAAATGCATACTTGTGCGTAATTTCATGCACACACACTCAAATTATGCACATACAAGGTGACTGACACAAACTAGTATGAATAAAAAGGACGCTTTAACAGGAAAACAATTGGACAGCTCCACTTAAACACCATGCACTCTCTGTCAGACACACACACAGAAGGTGGACCCCCCCCCCTGCTAGCATTGAGGGGACGTCTGGGTGACCTTGCGTCTGCCGGCAGACAGCTCCAGATGACAGCGCCAGGCCTGCTGCCAGGTGGCAATGCCAAGCAAGATGGCATCAGAAGAAGGAGGGGGGGAGGGGGGGTGTATGTTGGGAGCAAGTGGAGGGTTGCAAGGAAAGGCCGGTAGTGTAGGCTAGAGCCACATTATTATTAACCTGACAGTGTGTGGCTAAAGACGACCAAGATCATGGCTAAAATTAAGAATAGCATACCATAAATGCTTGTCTAAAAATAAAGTGAAATGTTTGAATAATGTTTGGAAGCATTGGCTCACTCATGCGTGCACACTTAGCATAGTACAGTGGTTCGCAGCATGGGGGTCGGGATCTCTCCAAGGGGTCATGAGGTGATTTACAAGTTAGAAAGAAGTAAACATTTCTGCTGCAGAAAGCAGTCAGACACACATTTCAACTCTTGACTTTGCTTTTTACTCACTGAGCTCTGCATAGTTTCACGTCCTCATGCCTCTACACTATTCAAATAAAAAAAAATATGGGAAGTCAAAAATCATTCTTTGCTCAGCTCTTTGCTAGCTCATAGAAAAATGTACATTCTCACAAGAGATTGCCAGTTAGCTTTTGTTTGTTGTAAAGGGTTATAAGCCGGGACACTGGGAACACTGGCCTAGTAGACTCTAATGTATGCGAGACAAAAATGAGAAGCAGAAGTTGCAGTATGCACATATGAAGCTGCATTTAAAGCATGTCTGTTAGAGCAAAAAGTTAATTCCCTCTGCTGACACTTCTTCTTTTTAGTTTTTTTTTTTTTGTACTTTTGGGATGATCATATGGCTCAGTTACACAATCCTCCACAATGTTTTTATGTTAAAATTCAGAGCAGCTGCCACCCCTCAGTACTTGCCTCCCTTTATCATCCCCTCCCCATTTTTTTGCCAAGCTCTCAAAACCATCGCCCACGTGTTCCTCGAGGACGGTGTTATTCAGAGATAGAAAAAGTAATAAAAGTAAAATAAGATGTAGCAAAGAATGATGGAGAACAGGGTGAGGAGAGGATAACATCAGCCAGAGAGGCAGGATAGCAGAGCAAGATGAAGGCTGTGAGAGGGAAGAGTATTGAACCCAGTGTGAGTGAGAATGAAAATCGGGAGTTGAGAGGGAGCGGAGGGGGGGGGGTGAGAGAGGCTGGAGGACAGAGGGAGGGAGAAAGTTTCATCACTGTCGACGGTGGCTCTGCGCTGCAAGCAGCAGGAGCGGGAGGGGAGGGGGGGGACATTGACATTTTTATCTTTCCATTGAATTTAATCTGTGTGATGGACGAGCTGCCAGTGCTTTAATTTTCCTCACACGAATTATCCCTGTCTGCCTACCTCTCTGTCTTGTACAACGACACAAACACGCACACACATGCACGCGCGCGCACACACACACACACACACACACACATACACAAATACGTACACACTGAGGCACTAACAGAAATTGTCTATTAACTGCACGTTGCAGCTGAAATCCACTATACGGACAAATGATTGAGTGATGGCTGTGTGTGTGTGTGTGTGTGTGTGTGTGTGTGTGTGTGTGTGTGTGTGTGTGTGTGTGTGTGTCACACAGTATTCTGTACACGTTACACACCAGCTCTTGTAAATCATTTTTATGCAATGGACATGTAACCACAAACAATTCAGGATGCAAGTTCCCGCATTAGCATTCATATTCTCATAATACATTTTGAAAGATGCATTGCTTGAAGTTAACATCCACACGAACATCAAAACGCACATTTGTGTCCACACATACACACACACAATAAGGAAAAAAAAAAAAAAGCAAGGCAGTATTTCTTTCATTTCAGCTCCCCTGCTACAATCCCCCCTCCTCCTCAAGTTATTGCATGTGGCAATTCGCCATGACAGATCGCCAGTCGTGCCTAATAGTTCTTTAATGACTTCATTAAATTGTGTTGTGCGGCTTATGATTGTGCTGCCAATTTGTCAGCGCGGGCAATGTCTGGGCGCTAGGGATGCCCCACTTTTATTTGTGAATTAATTGGACATCGATTGTTTTGCAGCTCTCCGCCCCTCCCCTCGTGGCAGAAAGGACACAGATTCCCAATCAGCGCCATAAGCAGGGCTGGCCCAGATATGTTCAGCAGCTTACTACAGTTTTATACAACTGGCCTCAAAAGCTGGTGGTTGTTTAAAAGGACGCTCCTTCACTACAGAGTCATAATTAGCTCATTAAAGCAAATGGAGGTGGAAAGCTTTGTACTGATTTGCTCGTTTTCACTGAAATGGTGTTTATAATATGCTGTTTTTGATGTGTCAGTTTTCGCATTTTACTGCTCTGTCCACATGTGTATTGGTGACTATGGTTACATTAGCCTGCCTGAGTACCAATAAAATGCTGGCAAATAATACATTGCCTTGCTCTGTCTGCACAGCAGGGTCTTCTTCATTTCTTGTTGAGGCGAGCAGTGCTTAGCAGTAACATAGTGCAGCATCAGACTTCCAGCCCCCGCCTTCCTCCTTCCCTTCATGTTCTCCCAGGCAGGGAGGCCTGTCTGTGGGCTGATGAATGAGCAGCAGCACCGAGTAGTGCATCCCTGCCTGGCCCCGGGCCAGGCCCCTCTGTCACAGACACTGATCTCCCATCAGCCTGAGCGCTCTGGCCCTTAATGGTCAAGGTTAGGATTAAGACAAGGAAAATCTGATCTTAGGTCAGTGGCTAGGGGAAATTCAGGTACCCCGAGGGGAGGTAGAGATTGGAGAAATGATAGAGATGACATTAGGAAAGGGGGATGATTTAAAGCAAAAGCAATACAATTTTGGAAAGGAGAGATTGCGTGCGTTGGTGAGAACGGAGCAAACAAGGAAAGCGAGAGCGTGTTGTATAACCAAGAGAGGGAGAAATGTGTGACGGAGAGAGAGAGAAAGCTGCAAGGTTTTTTCCGGTATGGGCTGAGCAGCCGAGCCCTTTTAAAACCATTAGAGGCAGGATATTTGTCATATTATGTTATTAGATTAGCCGGGACCCCTAATGAAAGCTGTGGCAATTTGTCAGCCTTATGGATAGCTCCATCCCCCACCACTATTTATCAAGTAGCACCCCATCTCACCCAACCCACCCCCACCCTCAACACACACATACACAACCCAAGTAATAGCTAAACTGCACCCCAGTGTGGATGTGCTGGGAGAAATGGATCGGGCCTGTAATGGGATTCCAATGCTAAGCACCCTGCCTAGCGTTTTTTGTCATTTGGGGTGAGCAGACTATTCTCAGCCAGATCGCCCAGAGGGAAATGACATCGGATTATTTCAAGGTCCCCCCCCCCTTCTTTCCATTAGCATAGCCCTCATCAATGGAGCTGTCTGAAAACATTTATGTTATAGCATCAGATAAGAGAAGTGAAGCTGTGGCCGCTGCTGCTGTTCGCCACAGAAGGAACATCCTGTCCTGCTCATGACTTTGCCTTTGATCTTGATCTCAGTTTACCTTGAGGTGGTGTCAGACGGTGCCAATGCAGGACATATAGTATCCAGGTTGCAACACCCTTTCAAGCAGTCGTTACCAAAACATTTGCAAACTGTATGACATGTTTTTTTTTTTTTTAAACTGAGATATACAGTGTGAACGATTCTGTTTGGAGGTAAAATACAAGCGTAGGTGTTACTTTTGACCATACCAATCCTTGTATTCCTCTCCTTGTCTTCCTGTAGCGGTGAGGAACGACCGGAACAAGAAGAAAAAGGATGAGAAGAAGCAGGAGTGCACGGAGAGCTATGTGCTGAGCCCCGACACAGAGCAGATGATCGACAGGGTTCGCAAGGCTCACCAGGATACTTTCCCCTCTCTCTGCCAGCTGGGCAAATACACTACGGTCAGTAGCGTGACACTAACAGTCTGTGTGTCCCTTCATTTGTTCACTTTTGTTACCTGTAAATTACCGTCACCTGCAAATGTTTAAACTGCTGCCACCTCTTCCCCTCCCTACAGACTAACAGCTCAGAACGACGCGTGTCCTTGGACGTAGACCTGTGGGACAAGTTTAGTGAACTCTCCACCAAGTGTATCATAAAGACGGTGGAGTTTGCTAAGCAGCTGCCTGGCTTCACAACGCTCACTATTGCCGACCAGATCACTCTGCTCAAAGCCGCCTGTCTGGACATCCTGGTAAGAACAACAACACCTATCTTTGTTTCCACAAAATTTCACCAAACACCCAGATTTTTTAAAAAGGAGTAGACGAGAGGTTCGATATTTCTAACCAGCTGCCCAGTTAAACGCTGAACCACCTGTTCTGCCTCTGCTGTCCACAGATACTGCGGATCTGTACACGCTACACACCAGAGCAAGACACCATGACTTTCTCAGATGGACTCACGCTAAACCGAACCCAGATGCACAACGCAGGCTTTGGTCCCCTCACCGACCTGGTTTTTGCCTTCGCCAACCAGCTCCTTCCTCTGGAGATGGACGATGCAGAGACAGGGCTGCTCAGTGCCATCTGTTTGCTGTGTGGAGGTACGACAGGCCCCTTTAAAACCTATTTCCCATTCTCATTGTCTATGACCCCTATACTAAGACTGAGTGACACCCTATGGATGAAAAAGGAGAAGGCTGGCAATGCTGTGCTCTTTCATTGAGCACCACCTAGTGGCTAACTATAATCACGACACTAGGAGAGCATTGACATGTTTTTTTTCTGTACCTGTGTTAATCCACAGATCGTCAGGACTTGGAGGAGGCAGAGAAGGTGGACGTCCTGCAGGAGCCCCTTCTGGAGGCGCTGAAGATTTACGTGAGGAAGAGGAGGCCCCACAAACCGCACATGTTCCCCAAGATGCTGATGAAGATCACTGATCTGAGAAGCATCAGTGCTAAAGGTCTGTGGTCTACACTAGTGGTTATCCGTCAATTAAGACAGAAATATAAGTTAATCAGTTTGGTTGAAACGTTGTTGATAACTTTTATAATCTTGACATTTTATATGTGTTTAAAAATGTAAAGCTTTTCTTGCTTTTTTTCCATTTCACATTATGTTAAAATGGAGCACAGGAGAAAGAATTAAGTGATATCTAAAATGTGTTTTGTCAGAACTTTGGTAGCTTATGTTTTCTCGTCTCTGTCCAACCCCCTCTGCAGGAGCTGAGCGTGTCATCACCCTGAAGATGGAGATCCCCGGCTCCATGCCCCCTCTCATCCAGGAGATGCTGGAGAACTCAGAAGGTCTGGAAAGTGGTGCTGCAGGCGGCCGGCCAAGTGGCGCCCCCCCAGGCAGCTGCAGCCCCAGTCTGTCCCCCAGCTCTGCCCAAAGCAGTCCAGCCACACAATCGCCGTAGTAGCGGCCCACTTTTTATTTTTCCTCACAACGCTCTCAGTCTCCTCGCTCGATGTTCTGAAGGGGAGGGGTGAAGGAGGAGGGACCTAGACTCTGACTGCTGAACACTGGAGACTGGCAGAGCCAACCTCCTCCTCTCCTATGACACAAATCCCCACCTCCTGATCTGCTTTCCCTCACTCTGAAGCACTGTCCTGACGTGAGGGGAGGTAAGGCCGGGGCAGGCCGGGACAACAGGATGCCTCCGAGAGACCACACCGTAAACACTGCTGATGACTCCTCCTCCTTCTCCCTCCACTCCCTTCTCCACTGCTGCTCCTCCCCTCTCCACCTTTCTCCAAAAGACTGATGGAAACAAATCTGGATGCAGTGGAGACCAGTTTTGAATGGAACTGAGATTGGGTGGGGCATCGTGGGACAAATATATGGACAAGGACAATGCATACAGACTGACTTGACAAACACCAGACACTTTTTTTGTTGTACTCTGAGGCAGACTGCAAGCTTTGGACCCCCCCTCCTCATAGACTTTGGGTCTTTTCTCTTTTTCCAACTTCAAAAAACAGGATTTCGTACAAAAAGATATATAAATATATATAGAAAAGTTAAGGAACTATTGTGATTGACATGTCCAGAACAGAATGGCAGGTTGAAATGAGGACATGTTTTCTGAGATTAGAAATTGTTGTACTGCTTCACTGTTTGAATCTTTTCATACCCATCAAGAGTATTGAGAGAGATTGTTTCAGTTTTATCACATTTGTACATCCTTCTAGTTAACAAAAAGCAAAAGATATTGAAATTTCTCTCCAGTCCACACATACAAACAAATGTGCACAGAAAACAAGTCGCAATGAATATCACCTACTATTCCAGGTTGGATTTGTTTTCCTTTTTTTTTTTTTCTTTTCTTTTTTTTTTTTTTTTTTGCTTCCAAGAAAATGGAAAAAATGATTGTATGAACTCGGTTGTATGATATGGTCACAGGTCCTTTCAAGAAATCAAATTAATGAAGATTCATTATTAAGGTGTATTTTAAGTAGCCTTTGAGTTTGTGTATATAAGCTGTATTCATTTCTTTAAAACTATGAAGAGTTTTAGGCTTCACCTGATTTTTTTTTTTTTTTTTTTTTTTTTTTAAGAATACCTTTTATGTGTTTTGTTCATAGGTTTGTGATTCAAGAAAAAAACATTTTGAGCACATTTTACTGAAGGAAGTTCTTTCATGTTTTGTGTCTTACTAAATACTGGACAGACCCTTAACCAATCACTGGCTGTTCAGGATGTGGCTTTCACAACCAATTTCAACCGTTGCCCCCTTCACTTTTAAAACATGTTTTTACCTTCAGTAGATAACAAAGTAGCACTCCAGTCGGGGCATAGCTTTTTGGCCATGTAGCAGAAAGAGATGGTGTTTCTGAAAATGGTGAGCTAGACGCCACCTGTAGCCTGCCAGATTCAAGTGAGCTACAGCAGCCCAGCTTCAAAGAGAGTTAAAATGTGAAGAATGGTGTACATACACACTGTATTAAACACAAGTGATTCTCAGTAGTCTCTGAATGGATCAATAATCTGTAGTGGATGGGAAAAGACTAGATTGTCCCTCTACTCTTTCAGTGGTCAGGCAAGTGAAGGTCCCAAATGTGATGTTTGTCAACTAAGTCCTCACAAATCTCCCTGTGGTAGAAACCAATATGTGACTTTTTGCCGGATCCAGAGAAACCTCGCACCCTGTGACTCACTTTACGCCAAAACGCCTTCACCGTTAGCACACGTCATCTTAGACCATCTTTACTGTACACACGCCAATGTCTCAGGAAGGAATCATTTTTTGTGCTTGGCCTGTTCTTTGTATATGTTCTGTGCTGCACCCCTTAACCCTTCAATCACAGATGCACACACACACTTCTGCTACTGAGCCCCTGAATTTTTCTTCAATCACTCACTTTTGTTCGCCCTGGCAGACCAGGACTTGTGCAGAGACACTGATCCCGCAACTTTACGACATAGGATGCCAGTGTGGAGTCTCTCTGAGTCGTTCATGTGTTCTTTTTATTTGTACGGTCAAAGCTGCTTTCATCATTTAGGACTTAACCTGTCCAGAACGGCGCACAACTTTTCCCTCCACAGCTAATCTGGAATAGCAACAGACACACACCGTCAGTTTGAGAAGTATGGAATATGTTGCAATTTGTCAAGATTATCAAGCGACTTTGAAAAAAAAAACAAACAAAAAAACAACAAAAAAAGATAAAAAATAAAACCAACATTTAATAATTATTAAATGTGTTTGTGTTGTTCACGTGTGTCCTTCTTTTCATTCTCTGCTACAGGGGTGTCCTTAGTAGGGTTTCATAGCTCATATCCATAGAAAGAAGAAAAATCTGATCAGAAGGCCATCACTAACTTTCTTGGGAACATTTCTCATGTGTTGTAAGAGCATAGCATCGAAGAGACTGATACCAACAGTTCCCAGGTCCACAGTTCACTGATCATATTTAAATTCAACGTTGAATATTTGCCATCAGCCACTAGATATATACCAGACCAAGAATCTTCATGACAATGGCCTTAATCAAAATCAACAATTGAAAAACTTTGTACGTTTGTACGTTATGAATAAGAAGTAACAGTCTTTCTCTTAAAAGTTGAACTTATAAGCAGTTACACACATGCTCAAGTCGGTGGTCTCAGCTGCAGCCCCTTTGGATTGGTTAGACCAAGTTTATTGTTAGTTAATGTTAGCAAGGTTTGGATATATGGCTGTATAACTGACCTTAAAGAGTGAGTTTGCTAAATTTGAGTCTTCTCAACTTGTGCTGGTGTAACATGTTTTAGCAATTGCAATTATCCTGTAATTGGCACTTGTGACGGCAGGGGTCGCTATTTAGCAAAACCTCCACAGACTCACATTAAAAATATGAACAGAATGTATTGGAGGAAATGATATAAATATATATGTATATATATGTATACATATATATATATATATATATGTGTGTGTGTGTGTGTATGCATGTGTATGTATATACACACCTATGCAATGAAACGCTGAAATGTCTTGAGTGAAGAAGGTCTATTATGATTATATACAATAAGAAGGGTACTACAAATAATGGCTACTAAATACTGCCTTATCCTGTGAAACCCATGGCTGTTTCTGTAGATCCATTCAACTGGAGTCTTTTGGAAATCTTACAGAATTTGGAAACAAAATGAGAATTATTCTTACAATTATCATCCATATATATACATATATATATATACTCATATATATCTGGAAGAAGACATTCTAATAGAGCCATATGGCTCTCTGCACGCTACTGCTATTACTACTTCTGCTATGCCCCGCCCTCTTACCGAGACGGTGACGTTTCAACCAATCACAATCCTTCGCGCGGAATTTCAAACATTTTCAAATCACCGTCCCTTTACCAAATCGTGATTGTTCCGCCAAATTCGTAAACAAAGTAGTCCCTATTATATGAATGCAAGTTATATTTGATTCAGACAACTAAATAGTTCTTTAAAAACCTTGCAGCACAAAATAATACACATATTGTTTCCCAAAACACCAGTTAATACGATTATCTCGCGGGGTTACTGTGTATGTGTAGTTTGGCGGAATGATACTACAGTTCCTCCCTGGAAGAGGCGAGAGACGACAAGGCACTGCTGTTCAGGGTAGCATACGTTAGCCATTCGTCGACGTACCTCGTAGGGTATGGTATGATATCAGTGGTACATTTAGTATAATATGATATTATAGTCAAATTCGCCTTCGCCACATCCCGGTCGATGTTTATGGATAGGAAGTTGACATCTCTTTGAACGGATTTACAGGTAATGCTACAAGGCTTACAGTGTATGCTCTTTAATCCGTCGTGCAGTCTTGCCGACAAGTTTTAGCAATTAGCGTCATGTTTCACTGACAGATGTATTTTGTTACAATGTAGAGTTGCTAATGTCACTTAATTCTATTTAATTTCTACGTTGACATTTATATATGATACGATAATAACGTTACAATCGAGGCGGTATTGCACGTGGGATGTCGCAGAATTGAGTAGTGTGTTTTAACTTACAGTAACAGCGACCTGCTGATTTGACCTGCCAAAGTAACGTCGAATTACATCAACGTTAGAACATAGAGTTGCCCAAAATATTAGCACGAGCTTGTCAATTAGCCAATTTTAGTGAAGTTTCTAGTAGTGCACATGTTGACAGTTTGTTGCATGTTTCTGGAAGGCTTTTCAGACTATAAAATATTCTGTAAAAATCCAACTTTGCTTACCTAACGTTGTTAACTGATGTTTAGCTAGTTTTGACACTGGTTTGCTGACGTTCCTAGGTAACGTTACGAAAATGCCATTGCATGGCAAAGTAGTCGTGATTAAGAGGAGTGGAGGAGATGGGACTGAGTTTCCTCTTACTGCAACATGCTTATTTGGAAGGTGAGTTCAATTAAATACAAACAAACTAGTTTATGTTTTCATATTTCAGAAATTGTATTAGTTTTACATCAGTAAATTTCCGTTGAGTACAACAGACGATGCCAGCACACCTTACGTTGGAGTCAACATTTACTTTGTGTGGCCCCATGTTGGGTTGATAGAAGTGCAGTAAAAACCCTTTTGGTTTGGAGGCGTGCCATCAGGTGCTGACGTCAGAATCTAAAATACACGTCTTTTCCTGGTCTTGCATTAAGTGCAAAAGACTCCATACTGTAAATTCAAACCTCCAGTTCATAACGTCACCTTACTTTCAGACCTTGGAATATTTCATTCACTTCTTATGAACACACATCAGTTACATGAAAATATGGTGACATTCCCATAACATGTTGCTAAGTGTCTTTTTTTGTTGTGATATTACAGGAAGCCTGACTGCGATATTCGTATTCAGCTTCCTCAAGTCTCCAAGGAGCACTGCAGAATTGACTTGAATGAAAATAAAGAGGTAAGCAACATATACTGAACATGACCACAGGATATCTGGTATAATGGCCAGTTGCGATTGAATAGTCACTCAATGTCTTCATATTTTGATCATTACAATGTTAATTTTGTAGATGTTAAAGTATCTTTTTACTTAAATCACTTGTGAATTGACAGCAGGAGATCTTGACCTAGATATAAATACAAGACATATTTTGCTTTTCAGACTGTGTTTGAGGTGATTTTTATGTTTCTCTCTTCCAGGTCATTTTGACAAATTTGAGCTCAGTGAATCCAACCCGTGTCAACGGAGAGGCTCTGCAGCAGTCTGAGCGTTTGAAGCATGGAGATGTGATAACAATTATTGACCGTTCCTTCAGGTATGACCTCCTTAGGTTTTTGGGTGGGGTGGTCAGTGGATATGAAGAGAAATTTTACCATTCTTGTTACTGTTGAGACTTTTGTCTTTCATACAAACTCACAAAATGACTTGCAGTGTAGTATTAGCCGTTTAGTAATATGACTCTCAAATGCATGGATTGTTGGACCGTTGCAAAACTCAACAGCTGTCTCTCGAGCAGTCATGAGACAACCTTCCTCCCAAAATGCACAGCAAATACAAGTTATACAGTTATGTCTCAAGGTCCCACACACACACCATGTGTTGAAATGGGGCATTAAATTTAGAATAGACAGAATGTGTTTTAAAAAACGGATATACAAGGTGAAATTGGAAATTGCACAGCCTTAGTGTCCTGGCGTTAACCATTTTCATGACCTATACAAGCACAACTTACATTCTGTTGCACTTTGTCATTTTAGGTTTGAGTACCCTCCAGCACCCACACCAAAGAAGAGGTCTTCTGCAGGAGGCAAAAGTGAAACCCTCAAAGTAATTTATGTTTTATTCAGCTTTTATCACTCCAAATTTGCAGCCATCACAGCACCTTGAATTTGCCTATGCTCCTAGTGAATTTTTATTATTTTATAAATGTGTTAATAATGGTGTCTTTTGCCTAGGTTCTTCAAGCTCAGCAAGTAGTAGACATTGTCACTGCTGAAACAGGAGAAAAGAGGAACTCTGAAGTCTTCACAGGTGAGATGGTACTTAGTGGTTATTCTAAATTAGCAATTTGAGAGTGCTGTATTTGAACACGATATCTGTGGATTTGTTGTTGAAGCGATTGTTGAATCACTTAAACAAAGAAATTACATGGAAAAAATAGTATGCATTCAAGAGTGAACAGCATATGTGTTTTAGGTAATCTGTCCTGTTGATGGGGATTTGGTGCTTAAAATCTTTTTCTTTTGAAAGATGGAACTAATGACAACTTCCAGCAATCCCTGGAGAAAACTGCGGAGGTGGAATCCAAGGAGGATAGCAGCCTGCTGCAAAACAAGACCAATTCCCCCTTCAACGATCTGTATCAAATGATCAAAAAGTCTCTGGATGTCAAGACCCCTCGGAAATCTTCTGCCAGTCTGCTTCAAACACCTGCCTCAAGGTTTTGCACTCCAAAACCTGGTTCCGTCCAAAAAAATGATGGGAAACCTGTCACTTCCACAGAAGACATAATCATTCCTAAGATGGATGATGCTAAAGTCTTTCCTGGAGCTGATGAAATCAAGGGGGAAGTTGTAAGTATTAGTAATGGGACCCCAAAGTCTGTTAAGAAGCAGAGGAAGTCCTTCCAGGTTCCTCCTGAGATGGCAGGACCTGCAGCACCTGAACATCCAGCCACGTCTGAAGCCACTTTACCTCAGAAGAGAAACCGTGTTAGCCCCCAGAGGTATACTGCATCTGAGGTTATTGATCAAGTCTCTGCTCAAACGTCAAAGTCACCATTGAGAAGACGAAGCAAGGAGGCCACACCAGTCAAAGCCTCTGTGACAAAGGAACAAGAAGAGCCAGCAATGCCATCTCCCAAGACAAAGCATCTTCAAGAGGCATCACCAAGGAACTCGGGCAAAACTGAAAAAGGTAATAAACACCGTTTATCATTTTAATCAAATTACTGTAATTATTGATTCATTGTTTGTTTAAGATATGTTTGGTAGATTGATCAGTGACAATTTATTTTTTAGTGAAAGACTTGCCAAAAAAACGCAAAAGTGGAGAACTTGCAGCCGACTTGCCCACATCACGAATGAAGAAGAAACGTGTTTCCTTTGGAGGTGCCCTGAGCCCAGAGTTATTTGACAAACGACTGCCACCTGACTCTCCATTACGTAAGGGGGCAACTCCGCGAAGAAGCTTGTGTCTGTCTCAACCCAAACTGTCACTCCTTAGAAGAGCATCAGTCATTGGCTTCCTAAAGGTAAGACTAACAAAGATGATGACTAGAGTATAAGGACATCAATAATATTATTGCTCTAACGCATATGATTTTATTTAAAATGTATCTTGTTTTACATAGGAGTTTGAAGATGTGCAAAGAAGTCCTGCAAAAAAGAGGACTCCATCACCTAAAAAGTCATCAAGTGCCAAGAATGCTTCTCCTAAGACCCCAACGCCTGGAAAGAAATCACCGAAATCTAAGTCGCCGTCTCCCAAGGCAGCATCACCTGGAAAGAAATCACCGAAATCCAGGTCCCCGTCTCCCAAGGCGGCATCCCCTGGAAAGAAATCACCGAAATCCAGGTCCCCGTCTCCCAAGGCGGCATCTCCTGGAAAGAAATCACCGAAATCTAGGTCCTCGTCTCCAAAGGCAGCATCTCCTGGAACAAAGTCACCAAAGTCCAGAACCCCGTCTCCGAAGACGGCATCTGCTGGAAAGAAGTCACCAAAATCCAAAACGCCATCTCCTACAAGGGGAAGGTCTCCCGCTAAATCTCAGTCCAAGTCTTCAACCCCAGGTCAGGTTTCTTACAAAGAAACTCCCAGTGGCAAGAAGAGGTCAGCCCTGGCAGCGTCAAGTCCTTCCCCTAAGGAAATTGCTCCCATTGTTTGTGCAACACCAGCCAAAACACCCTGTAACTCAGGGGTCTATACCTCCACAGGGCGCTTCTCTGTGTCACGCATCAGCACTCCATCTCCAGTTGCAGAAGATGATGTTACTAACAAGATGCCTTTAGTCACCGTTACCCCTAAAATACCTCTGAGGAGAAAGAGCATGAAGAGCACCTCACGCAAGACCCCAAGTATATCCAGGAGTGCTGTAAAAGTGATGCGCAGAAGTGGCATTTCACGTGCATCTATCAAAGGTATGTTAGATCCTGAAATTTATAATGTAGCTTTTACACTAGAAATCTTGTCTTTGTTTTTAGCATTTTATCAACAATAGAAACCTTTGTCAATTTCAAATGATGTCAACTGTCAATGTTGTCATTTGTGTATGTCTCCGTGTGAAGAGCAATTCATTGACTTGAAAGCCACTCAACTATTACATTTACCATCCAAGTTTTATCATACGGGTTGGCTTATTTAATCATCAGGGCTGTTTGTTAAACCGTAAACTGATAATACGGGCAATGTTGAACTGTTGAAGAAAAAGGAGTTTTCAGGGTTTTTTTTCTTTCTCCTTTCAGTCAGAGATACCTGGGTGGATGTTGTGAAATTTGGTCAAACTAAGGCTCAAGTGGCTGCTCCAGCTAAAATAATCGTCCCCAAAAAGACTGTGAAGAAGACTGTGTCCAAACCACAGGTAACGTAAGATACTGTAACAATATATATTTACTTAATCACGTTTTCTATCTTTGCAACAACCAGAACTTGTTACACTTATTATAAACAAAGGACTTCTACTATATTTGGTGTTTTGCTGAGTGTGACCTTATTAACTACACTGTTTAGAAAAAATAATTTTGTTTATTAATACAGGACATTTTCAACTAAGTTAAATGTGTGTTAACTTTCCTTATGTGTTTGCTCATACTGCATGTCAGTTATGGGTTTATATCTTGCTGTGATGTTTGCAAGGTTACCATTGAAAACTGCAATGATCATATCTTTCGCCATCTCTTAGACCCCTGCACGAAAACTCAAGGGCTATGTCAGCACTGGACATGCAAATTCACCTGTTACCATTGTTGTGGGCAGAGCTCACAAACAAAAGGTTGTACATCCAACTGGTGCTGCACCAAGAGTGGTCACCAATACTGCTCTCTTCAAGAAGAACATGAAAATGGATGAAGACTTGAGTGGTATTAACACTTTTCTGTCCTAACAAATGGAAACCTTTGGGCTTTGTTCTTTACTATTCTTGCTAATGTTGTAACTTGTGGTTTCAGGCATTTCTGAAATGTTTAAAACCCCTGTAAATGAAAGGAGCAGGAAATCTGTCATCAGAGACAACAGTGCCACCGAGACGCCAATGGGAGTTCTGTCTGTGGTAGACCCATCAGTTTTAAACACACCAGAGGAGCCAGGTAAAGTGTGCGAGGATATTGTTGCTGAGCCTTATGTGAAGCAGACTTTAACCAAATGTTAACGGTGTCTGTCCACAATTACATTCATGTGCATTATTATTAGCTACAGAAACAAACAGGTTTACTGGTCTCCCTAAAGAGAAAAGACTTGTAATTTAGGTGAGACTGAAGAGGACATCTATTCTGATTTTTATTACTTATGATTAAAGAAATGCACTATTTAGTAAAAGGTTCTTGATTTCTGATGAGTTCTCCTGTAATGATTATTAGAAGTTTTTGAGCTGCGTTTCAGGAAGAGAAGCTTTTGCATGGCTGATTTTATTTTAGACCATGGGACAAAGTAATTTAAGAGGTTAATCTCCATGTTCAACAGACATGTAACCACTGCATTGCTATTTTGTGTGTTTTGTAAGTCCATGTGGGCCCTGAACTTGTGTGTGCATTAGACAATAACTCATTTCGTTATTCTGTATAATCACTAAGACTAACAGGGGTGTTAAATTAGACCAGTTTGGTTTTTACCACAGCATGAACTAATGAAATGTGGTGTGTTTCACAGGCGAGATGATGGTGTCTCCACTGAGTGTGGCATCTACAGTGAAAGGCGAAAGATACAACAGTGAAGCAGTACAACGCCTCCTTAATGGAGATCAAGACTCTAGCTTCATCAGCGAGATCCCAGCCTTGGAGATACACTCTGAATCTGCTGAACAGCAGTGCACAGATGTGAAGACAACCCATGTAACAACTCCCAAACAGAAGCCAGAACAACCGGAGTGTCTCACTGGAGTGAAGAGGATCATGAAGACACCACGGCAGAAGGCTGAGCCAGTTGAGGATCTGAGAGGCAAGATTTTGAAAACTCCTAAGCAGAAAGTGGAACAACAGGAATGCCTCACTGGAGTTAAGAGAATCATGAAGACTCCAAGACAGAAGGCTGAACCCGTAGAAGACATCAGAGGAAAGCTTCTGGCAACTCCCAAACAGAAGCCTGAACAACAAGAGTGCCTCACTGGAGTGAAGAGAATTTTTAAGACCCCACAACAGGAAGCTGAACCTCTTGAAGACCTTCAAGGAAAATGTCTGCAGACTCCCAGAGCTCTAGAGGCTGGTGATGTGAGTCTGGATGGTATCGAGGAACTTCAGAAGACACCAGCACACATGCAAGAATCTGAAGACCTATCTGAAATGACAGACATGAAGACTCCAAATGTGAAGAGCTCCCCATTGGTGTGTCTCACAGGTGTCAAGAGAATAATGAAGACGCCCAAAGAAAAAAGTGCTCCAGTTGAAGATATGGTTGGTGTGAAGAGGCTCATGAAAACTCCCAGAGAGAAAGCTGAACCTGTTGAAGAGAACTTTGGCATCGAAGCACTCATGAAGTCACCCAGGCTGAGGGGTAATGCTCCAGTGGAAGACTTTGAGGGACTCCAAGAGGTCATGGAGGAGGTACTGACGGATTCTCCCGGACCACTGAAAACAGATGAGGTAATGATGGAGACACTTCTATCAACCTTTTTGTTATTTTATTGGAAGGATTTGCCTGAATTAAGTATTTAAGAGAAAGAAACTTACAGCAGTTGGCAGATAGTGTGATCACCAATATGAACAGTTGGGATTCAGCTGTATGAAAAGGCAGACCAAATCAATGACTGAATCTAGTAAAAAGCTTTTTATTGAGATAGTTGATGAGTGAGACTTTCATGTTACAGGAAGTCATTTGATTGAATAATGGAAACAAAGATTTTGGGCTTTCATGAGTGTCCAGTAAACACACAGCTGAGCAAATTGTGTTTTCAATATATCATTTCATTGATGTAATTTGTGTCTAAACATTTAAGCTCGTTTCATTTTTCATCAACAAATTTTTGCGGGGGCTAAAATGAACAATGAATGTAGCCTCAATTTCACTAATCCCAGCCTGGTGTTGTCTTGCATTGTTTGCTTGCTTTATTTCACAGTGAGGGCCAATTGTCTAAAATGTTTGTTTTTTACAGGTTGAAGATCATCCAGCTCCTCCAGATTGTGGTGAGGACATAGCAAAAGGTCAGTTGGTTGAGTGTAATAAGAATAATGTTAGATAAGCAATAAATTACATTAGAGTGGTTATATAAGCTGCAATACACCAATCAGCTGATTATATTTTTTTGTTTTCTTGTCCTCTGTTCCTTTTATATAGAACTAGACTTTGCCTGTGGGGAGCCACAAGATGATACGGCGTCTGATGTGATCGACAATGTTCCCCAAGTTGATATGGCAAAAGGTAACTTTGCTAATATTTGTCCCTTTTTAATTGGTTTATGTTAAAATTACTTATGAGATAATGTCATACAGAAACTGAAAATATGGATTTTGTGAATTGTGTTTTCTGAAGCTGAGAGTAATGGAAGTCCAAAACAGTCCTGTCTAAAAGAACTACCACATGAATTAAATGTCACACATAAACACAAAATATACTATACAAGTATTTCAGACACTTTTCCCCCCTTTTTGTGTCTTATTTTAGAAACGGATGCAAATGAAGCTCTTGTTCACAACCACATTGAGGAGGTGCCAAGTGGACATGATAATAATGAATCATCAGATGCCATGGAAACTATCTCTCAGGCAGCTGTGGATGAGAGCCTACCTGTGGAACAACCCAAAGTGGATGCAGTAGATGAGACTTTATCTGAAGAACAACAACCAGAAGTGGAGACTGCTACTGGCAAAGTCACAGAGTTGGACATGAATGCTGCGGCTCCTCACCATGAGAAGAAATCTGTTCGAGGCCGAAGAGCAAAAACAGTGAAATCTGAGGCAGCTGAGGATAAACAAGAGGCAACAGAGCATTCTGAAGATCCTGTTGCCCCAGCTCCAGTCAGAGGAAGAAGAGGGAAGAAAACTGAAGCCCCAGCTCCATCCACTGTGAGACAAACAAGAAGAAACAGAAACAAGGATGTTGAGCTCACATTAGAAGAAAGTGCCCCTCAGTCTTCTGAAGTTGCCCTTAAGCCTAAAAGAGGAAGAAATGCCAAAAAAGCTTCTGAAGATCAAGTTGAAATGGTAAAAGAAGTTGCCTCTGAAACAGAAATGGTGCCAGAAGTTGAGAGCAATAACATCCCTCCACTTGATGTCGACCACAAAGCAAATGACAGTGCAGCACCCGAGGAGAAGGCTGTTTCCAAACCCAAGAGAACGAGAAAAGCTAAACAAGAATCTGAACAGTCAGTGTCAGATGTGCCTTGTGACGATGTTCCCCAAGCAGATGTGGCAAAAGGTATGTCATCTTTCTTGTTTGTTTTCTGCTTTCCTATTTCTGACCCCATGCATGTGTAAAAGTGAAGGAAATTGATCAATTTTCCATTCATTGTTAACAATTGTATGTCTCATTTTACCAAAGCAAGACAGGGTGTTTGAGTTGGCTATAAACACAAGTGTTGATTAAAGTAGCTGCTCTGTGCTTTAAGGACATTTTTCTGTGTATCAGCTTTGCCACAGATTTTCACTGGAAAAAACAATTCTGACTGATGTACTGTATTTGTTATTTTTACAGTTGTTATTTGATAGTTAAATGCAGAAGCACTCAAAAATAACATTCCTCCAATGTTTTCTCCAATGATTTTAGATACAAATGAAGTCTGCAGTGACCAGCTGGAGGTGGTGCCCAATGAAAATAATGAAACTAAATCCATTGCCATGGAGACTGTTTCCCAGGCACCTGTAACTGAGAGTCTACCTGCACTGGTCACAGACACGGATGCATCTGTCGTTCAGAAGAAATCTGTTAGAGGCCGAAGGGCAAAAATGGCGGAAGCTAAAACAGCTGAAGATAAACAGGAGGCAGCAATCAATTCTGAAGATCCTGTTGTCCCTGCTCCACTCAGAGGAAGAAGAGGGAAGAAAACTGAAGCTACTGCACCACCTGCTGTTAGGCAAACAACAAGAACCAAAAACACAAAGTCTCAAGGAAGCACCAGTGATACTAATCCTGAAACGCAACCAATGACTGAGATTTCTACTGAAGCTGTGAGTGACCAAACCAGCCAAGAAGAAGATGTTTCTGCCTCCCCTGTAGAGGAAACTGACGTGAAGCCCATTCGAGGGAGAAAATCTAAACAAAAACCTGTTGAGCCAACTCAACCAGAGCCAGAGAAAAGTGAAGTCCTGAGTGAGGAGCAGCTCATGGCAGATCCTCAACCGCCTGTCCCCACTGTTGGAAAACCCAGAAGAGGGAGAAAGACAAAAACTGATGTTGAACAAAATGAGGTTGCAGAAGACACAGTTGTCATTGAGCAGACCAAGCAGCAGTCTCAGCCTCCAGTCAGGGCGAAGAGGGGAAGAAATGCTAAACAGGAAGAAGAAAAGCAAGAGAACGATGGCAAGGCTACCTCAGCTGAGACTCTTAAATCCCAGGAGCCCGTTAAAAAATCAAGGAGAACAAGAAAGGCTGAGCAAGACAACGTAGAACCAAGAGAAGATGAAATCCAAACTGCTGAAATGGTTTTCCCCAAGGAGGCTGAAGCTGCACCTGTTGATGAACCACTGAAGATGAGTGAACAGGTTAGTGTGGCTGCAAAACCCAGGAGAGGAGGGCGAAAAGCACAAAAAGACACTGAGAGTGAAATCCCTGTTGAGTCCACTGAGGTCCCTGCTGTCAGCTCCACAGACAAACCCAAACGGGTTAGGAGAGGAAAACAAGTCACTGAAGAGGTTGACGCCACCATCGAAGTACCAGAGGGAAAACCTGACCATGAGCTGGAGGCTGAAGAGAAGAAAACTGCTGAACCAGATGTTCCAGTCATTAAACCTAGCAGGGCGAGGGGGGTGAAAACTGTGAAAAATGATGTTTCAAATGCCATTCCAGCCAAGAGAGCACGTCGGGGTGCTGCTCTTCCCCTTGAGGAGACCAATCCAGAGTCCACAGTCCAGGTTTCAGAGTCTGTTCCAACCTCAGTAGAGCCACCTAAAAGGGGGCGACGGGCAGCAGCAAAGCCCACAACAGATGAATCCGCTTTGAGTTGTGACCAGGCAAATCCCTCTGAAGATTTAAGCAACGCTGTTGTGGAAGACACAAAAAAGTCCAAAAGATCTGTCAAGTGGAAAGCAGAACCAGAAGTCTTTCAGATTCCAAAAGTAACACCTGTAAAAGCTGTTCGAGGCAGGAGGTCAAAACTTGGAGACCAAGTTGAACCTGAAAGCAAAAATGTGTCAAAGGCTGCCAGCAAAACTGAAGAGAAGGATCTCTCAGATGAAGTTGTTGAAGCTCAGCCCATCAAGAGAGCCAGGCGAGGGGCAAAGGTCACTGCTGACACAGAGACCTCAAGCAAAGTGGGCCCAAAGAAAGGTGCTGAAGCTGAGACACAGCCAAAACCCAGAAGAGGAAGAACAGCAAAGAAATAAGAGCATTTGTATACTGTATATTCTTAATCACAACTATTTTTTTCCTTCAAACCCTTTGTGATTGTCATGTTTTAGATTGTAAGGCATTTTAGAAAGTAGTTTTATAGACTAAAAATGAAGCACTGCTTGTTGTTTGTTTTCCATGGCTGCAGGGAATCTGGTTTTAACCATTTGTTTTGTGACAAGTTGTATGTTATTCATTACTGATGTTTTTTGTTTTTTTTTATTCTTCCAAATATTTTCATGGTGGCGGAAAAAAAGTGCTTATTAAATTTTTTTTGTACAATGGGGAAAAAAATGGTCTTTTACTGTTATTCAGTGCCTTTGCATGTGGTGTTAAAATAACTGGGATGATTAATCAAACATGGCTTGAAAGGCATCAAAAATATATCGGCACCTCGAGCTTATATGTAACCTATTGTAGGTGCAGGTAGTGTTTTCTGGTGACTGCTTGATCGTTTTCAATTTTCTGTCAGTTACATAAGGTGAGACCATCAGTGTCATTACATTTGCTCTCGTGCTACTTAGTGTTGGTGCAGGTCTGATTTTATAAGCAGAGGCAAAAAAGAAACATTGTTTTGTTCTCAGTACATTTATACATTTCATACGTGGGGGAATGCGAAAGGGTGAGACAGACATGAAAGTGTAAATTGAAAAATAAATTACGGGGTTCAAAAGAAGACGCAGCTAGTAAAAAATTGATCCAAGAGGAATACAGCAATCTGCCTCAACATATTGTAATGGGAAACAGACTTAGAGTGGGACCTGCGCATATGAAGTTTATTATTAAGTATATTATTTATTTATCTTTGAGTTTGAGTCTCCATCATTCAGTATTGCAAAATGGTTACTACAGTGTATTGTTTAGCGCGAGACATTTTAATCCATTAAAAAAATAGATCAACGGGAACTCTGATAAAACAGTAGAGCAACCCGGACAGGTTTTGTGGACGGACTGGAAACAAACGAAGAATCGACGCTGGAGGGAGATTTGAGAGGCGCATGGACGATGTTCGGCCTTAAACTTCGCTGAGGACTTTGCTGGTCGATTTATTTCCTGTGTTGTCGTTATATTTTATTTCTCTCCATCATGGAAACAGACAGTGACATAAAAACGACGCCGAGGGGGTTTCACTGCACCCTGTGCAATGTCGGTTTACCCAACAGTAAGTAACCTTAAGCTAACTTAGCCAAATGCGAGTCAGTTGAAGTAACTTTTGATGCAACTTTTTTCCAGGCAGGCGGTCAGATGGACGTACAAACCTAGCCAACTTAAAAATACGACGTTCCCGCCACATCAAAAACTTACGTTATCTTCCTCGTTCGTCCTTGAACGCTACAGTATGACGTTAATGCCATGCGTTGTTAGAACGATTAGCTAATGTTATAGTGGCAGAAGAGTTTTAATGTATTTTATAAACTTGCCATGCTTAGCAAAGTATACTAAATGTTCGCAGCAACTGGTGTAATTGCATGTATTCGCGGTACTATATATTTTAATCTTTTAAACATTGGTGTGTCTTGGGGTTTTTTTTCTCATTCAGCATTGCTCATATTATCATGTCCAACAGTGCCAAGTCTGGAGCAGCATGTCAAAGGGCGGAAACACAAGACTTTGAGCACCGTGCGGGCTACCAGGAAGACCCAGGAGGAGCATAGTGTGTTTGTTAGTGGCATCAAACCTGTCATCTCTCAGACTGACATAACGGAGTACTTCCAGAAGTTTGGGCCAGTCTCAGATGTTATCATGGATAAAGACAAGGTCAGACAGCTGTTCATTATCAGACACAGCTTATTTTAAATGATGTCCATAGCCTCAGTCTTTACAGATTGTGTACATGTCAAGAGCACTGATGGTCAGTTTCTTCTTCTTCTCTTGTGACTGTGATGTGTCACTGTGCACTCACAGGGTGTGTACGCCATCGTGCAGTTCAGTGAGACTGAGAGTATACAGGCGACGCTGTCCTGTGTTGAGCATCAGATGAAGGGACTGAAGCTGCGTGTCAAACCCCGGGAAAAGAAGGACTTCAAATTGATTCCCAAGAAGAAGAGTGACTTCCAGAACCTCCAACAAGCTCTTGACCGTCTCAAACCTGAGCTGTGTGAGCTGACATCTGTAAGTACCCTGTTATCAGATATAAAGTGTGGCTCATGCCAGTGAAAGTGTGGGTGTGTAAGAGTAGTGAATACACTCGGTTGAAAGGAGCATTGAAGACTTTAGAGGATGCTAGGAGCCTTTTAGATTCAATGTCGTTCCACACTACAGTATATCATGTATTAACCATTAATTGTGTAGTTTCATATAAATTAAATATGCAGTTTATACCATATTAACTATAATTTATGCCCTGCATACTAAACGCAGACAAATATTAATCAAACACAGCTAGTTTATTGTGTATTTGGACTCTGTTTAGTCTGTTTTAGTCAATGAGAATATACCAGCTCATTATAACATGTATGTATGTTATCAAGACGGCTTGTTTAAGTAAGCACTGTGGTGTTGTCCTTTGTTCCTCTCCAGGTGGAGGCACAGATGCAGCACATTGTTGAGCGTTTCCAGCTGGGAGAAAACGAAAAGAATTCACGAGGCTTGCTGGTTCAACTCCTGCAAGAGGTTTTCATAGAGTTTTTTCCAGGTGACTTTTCTAAACAAAGACTCAGTTTCTGAAATCTCCTTTCATAATGATAATCGTGCAAAAGATTGTCATAGATTGGTTGTCTCACTTTTTATGTTATGTTTGGATGTTTTGCAGACAGCCAGATTCTGCCGTTTGGTTCATCTGTCAACACTTTTGGCATCCACTCCTGTGACTTAGACCTCTTCCTGGACCTGGACAATACCAAGGTGTTCCAGGCCCGTGCCAAGTCCACCACAGAACAGGTCTGAATTATTTTTTTTTAATATACAGTAATGGTGCCTATACATTTTTTTTTGTACCTCAGTTTTGTCACCAAAAATAAAGTTTGAACCCAGACAATATAACCAAAATATTAGATAATCTATCTAAACAGGAACCTTCTGTGAATTGAATTATCCTTCTTTATCTCTACCATCTTTTTCAGGCAGGAGAGGGCATGTCGGATGATGGCCGCTCTGAGGACTCCATCCTGTCTGATATTGACCTGTCCACAGCCTCGCCGGCAGAGATCCTGGACCTTGTGGCAGCGATCCTGAAGCGCTGTGTCCCCAAGGTGCACAAAGTCCACGTAGTCAGCAGCGCTCGTCTCCCAGTGGTCAAGTTCCATCACCGTGAGCTTAACCTGCAGGGGGACATCACCATTAACAACAGGTCAGTTGATTATTCCTCGATACCGTTTAGTACTGACAGACCTCAGAGGTGATGAGAAATGTTTTATCTTGTACACTAGGCAGTTAATGTATGGTTTTCCTTTTTTCTGTGTCCCGTACTAGACTAGCAGTCAGGAACACCCGCTTCCTCCAGCTGTGTTCAGGGATGGAGGACAGGCTGAGACCTTTGGTGTACACCATCCGCTACTGGGCTAAGCAGAAACAACTGGCTGGTAAAATGAAAACACTTGCACCGTAGTGCTGACAACATCAATTAATGAGAATTGTGATTGTAATAAAAACAGATATAGTTTTTTTAAACTAAAAATTAGTGTCTTTAGGTGGTTATTTCAGTTTTTGGTCAACAGATGTCACTAGAACTTCACTTGTCCCATGTGATCATGTTGGGATCTGCTTGGACACACTGATCTGCTATGCCTTTAGAGCCTTGTTACGGAAGCTGTGGTAAGATAAAGGCAGCACAAGCACAGCCGCTGTGTTGTAATGGTACAGGCAGATCCTCCTGATATAAAATCAAATCTCAGTGAGAGGGATGTTCACTGAAGAACACACTCATTACCTTTTACTACTGGGGCATATATCGAGATCTCAACAGAAATGTGACTGTATGTGAATAACCAGCTTAGTTATTCACTCAGCATTGCCATTTCCCTTCAGCATGAGAACCAAACTCAAGCTGCAAAAGCCCTCAACAGATGTTACTGCTTTCATCTCAGGATGGGTATCGTTAAGATTTTAATGGTACTATTACTTTTACACATCAGTCCGGTACTTTAATGGTACTTTTATCGGTACTTTTTTGTTATTTTGTAAGAGAAAAAAACAAATTAAGAACAGAATTAACATTGCTGTGTTTTCTCACCATGTACTCAATTTACATTCTTGAGTAACAAACCTCCACAGCATTGTTTTGAACAAGTCACTGCTAAAGACTGATTTTGAAATGATGAAAATGTAAAACAAATGTAATACACAGTGATTTATAGTGCAGTACCAAATCACTAAATGTGTCCCTGCTGAGTGATTTGAAATGGATGAACTGTGCGAGGCGGTCGGACACTTTACGTTTTTCCGTCTGTATGTGATGGATGTTTCAACACATCGCTCATCTCTACGTCCTTGCATGCAAAAGACTTAACTACACTTAATTCTCTCCGCCATTGTCGCTAATAACTGCAGGGTGTGTGTGTGTGTGTGTGTGTGTGTGTGTGTGTCCGTGCGCGTGTGCTGCACGGTGCTTCAGTGTGTGAGACAGAGCTGTCCCTGCCGCTCACAAATAAAGAGCCTTGGAGAGAGAAGCCTTTCTTCCGCATTGTGAATAGTGAAAATGCAGAAACGGAGTTGGTGAGATAAAATGTGTGAGAGAACTTTTATGTAGCAATAACAAATAGGAAATCTGTTTTCTTAATTTCTCCAACACTGAGAGCAGAACCAGTAACGTCAGATCCTATTGATACTATGGTCTTAAAAAATGTAGCCCCAGGGCCCGTTTAATACCTGGTTTCAGTACCAATCCCTACTTTCATCTGTTGATTACATCCTGTGGATATACACATTCATGGCCTTGCTGTAATTATAGTATCCTCCTGTTACACACACATTCTGCGTTGTTGCGTGTAGGTAATCCCAGTGGTGCCGGTTCCCTTCTCAACAACTACGCTCTGACATTGCTGATCATCTTCTACCTGCAAAACTGTGAGCCTCCTGTCCTCCTCCCGGTGGACCAACTCAAAGACATGGCCTGTAAGTGCTGCATTGCTCTGATAATCACCACGGTCTGTTCCCTGTTGCTCTGCATTACTGTACAATTTAACTTCCCTGATAGTTTTGCTAAGCGGTCTCAATGAACAAAAAGGGGGTTACCTTGCTGTTGAATTGTTTTACTGTGAGAATAGATGCAAGCAAAAAGGGTAATTTAGACTGCAGAGAGTTTTAATTGCATGCACATTATGTCTGCATGTATCAGGTCTGCGATCCAAATATTCAATTGTTTAACAGAAGGGTTTATTTAGGACAAGTTCAAATTACTTGTGTAATATAGATAAGTCAGAGAGTCCTGCACAATAAAACTGTTTTAGCAAGTTAATTGGTTCTGTTTTGCTGGCATGTCAATCAGATGCTTTCTTTACCTCTCTTTGTTAACATCCTTGCAGGTGAGGAGGAAGAGTGTGTGATTGAGGGCTGGGACTGCACCTTCCCCAGTCAGCCCATTGCTGTGCCCCCCAGCAAGAACACACAGGACCTCTGTAAGTGAGAGTAATGTTAAAAAGGAAAAGTGTGTGATTTGTTTTTCAGAGATTTCCTGTGACATATGTGACTTAGCTTCTTCATAAATTTCTAACTCTTGAATGAACTGCCAACATCACCAGTACATACCCGTAAGGACACTCTTTCTGTGCATCTGTGTTTTCTCTGTCTAGGCACCCTGCTATCTGGCTTCTTCTCCTTCTATGCTAACTTTGATTTCGCCAGTAGTGTCATATCTGTCCGGGAGGGACGTGCACTCCCAATCACTGATTTCCTCAGCAAGAATAAAGAGGAGGAAGCCATGCAAGAGGAACAACCCACCATGACCCCCCACCACAGTCCCAAACTGGGCCCCCTGAATCTCTTGGACCCCTTTGAACTCTCACACAATGTAGCTGGAAACCTGAATGAACGCTCACACCGCTGCTTCCAAAGGGAGTGCCAGGAGGCTGAGAAGTATTGCCGCAGCCTACAGTACCAGCGCAAATCCACCAAGGGGAAGTCATGGGGGCTGGTGCGCTTATTCACCCCCCATGGAGATGTCCCACATACCAAAACAGAGCAACTGACCATCAGCATCCCCTTCAAATCAGCATCGCTCCCTCAGGGGCTGCGTAATCAGCTGCACATGGCGGGAGATGGTTTCCGGCTGGTGTGGTTTCAGAAGGTTTGTGCCGCTGTAGAGGGAGTGCTCAAAAGTGTTCTCCGTTGTCGCCTCACTCCCTCCACAGATGCCGTCTTTGGTGAGGGTTCAGCTGTCCATACTGCAAAGGAAATGGAAACTAGCTCAGCTTCCCTCAACACATCACTGAATGACAGCTGTGACAGTGTTGAATCCCAAAATGAAGCCAGCTCTCTGGGTACTGCCGCGGTTGGTGCCAAGAGGCGGCTGTCTTCTGGCAGTGATGCTTCTGTGTCTCCTCAAGGCAAAAAGCAAAGACTGGCGAGAAGGGGGAAGTCTGATTTCCCTCAGTGGATCTGTGTGCAAAAGCACATAGTGTGGGCTGGCAGGAGGAAAGTGAGAAGGGAGCTGATCAAAGATGCGGACTCGAGGCCAGAGGGCAGCTGTATGGAGATGGAGTCCCAGGTCACAGCTCACATCATTGAGAAAGAGCCAGAGCTCAAGGAGCCCCTGGAGTTCAAGGTTCAGCCCCAGATGGTGGGTGGGACTGAAAGCACAAGGGCAGTGCTCAAGTTGGAGCCAACCAGTGACAAGACGGGAGTTTTTCAGGACTTTTTTCATTTCCTGGAAGCCTTCTTACCTAAGATGGTAGAGACACTGCTAGAGAGAGAAATAGGAAGCTCTTAAAACGGGGCCCATTTCCCATATGTTGCAGTTAAATCTAAGAATTTGGGGTTTTCTTTGTTTTCAGTAAAAGATGCGATTATACTGCCACTTGAATGAACCTTTGAGAGTTGGACATGAAAGAGCATTACTTTCATGACTTTATATATACCAGCCACCCATTATAATACTGTGTATATGGACTTTTTGTTTGTAATGTTTTCATGTATACTGTATATTTTATACTTGTGACTTTGTTTCCGAAGCTTACATTTATGTTTGACATGTGGCTTGGTTTTTAGTACTTTTCTGTTTAAAACTAGTGCTCTTAAATCATGAAGCTGTGAAGGGAAACTTCAGTGGCATGGCGTCTGTTGTCTTCAAATGAAATTTAAAAAAAAAAAAAAAAAGATTAAAAAGATAAAAAGAAAAGCTTTGTCAAACACTGCCTCATTCTATAAACAGTAGCTGCGATTAGTCAGGACCGTATGTACGTTTATTCTGCATCCGTTCTGTCATTTTTTTCTTTGTATAAAGCGCAGTTGCAGGGATGGTTTTAATGCTTTGGTTCAGCTTGTGTCGTGCTCTGCCAGAAAGGGGCCGTGGTGTGGAGCTTTTATCCAGTCGGGTCTTCGCTCATAGGACTGAGACAGATGAGAGTAATTACTCAAGCAGGCAGATTGCTTTATTACAGCAGGACAAGCAGGAGCTGAGGGATGCGCACAGCTCCCATGTGCTGATTAACATCATTCATCTCACTTTTAAAGGGAGATGCAGATGGCCAGCAGGTTAGATGGGGATGTGGGAGATGGCGATGGCTGTGCTGATGAAGACGTTTTGAGACGGCTTGATGCTTGTTCACATCACTGGTGGGATGTTTGCTGTGGCCATGAAATTAAAGATAAAACTGGGGGGTATGACCTGAGGACTCTGTACGTGTGGTCCAGCAGAAATCAGTGTATTTTTAGTAATAATCAGAAAATAGTTTTACATAAGTAACTTGTCCAAAGTTGATCGCCAAATCTAATGAGCAACACTGTTTCTTATAAAAAGTATATTTTGGCCCAAAATGGACAAATTTGACTATTATCAGAAAAGCAAATGATGCCGACTGACATTTGAACCACTTGAATATTGTTAAAATTGATTTTAGCTATGTTATTGGCTTATCTTTGGGCCTGCCTGTACACTCAGTCTTGTTTGTTTGTTTTCCTTGGCTGAAACTGACTGTTCTCATTTGTGCGTGTGCTTTTCATAGGTTTATCTCTTTCACTGACCCTCCAGGCCACTCCAATATCACCACCCCTTGTTTTCCAAAGGAGCCTCTGATATATGGCCTGTGTCTCACACACCTTGAAGCCAGACAGTCAAAGTGATTGATATGAGAACTGGGGGGTGTGTTTGCTGTTGGCCAAAAACAAAAACGACAACAAACATCATCTGATAAGAAGCTGTTTTCCTCAAAGTTCCCTTCGTCGAGAAACAATCCATTGTGAAATCTTTGTTAAGATGCACAGCAGCACATGGGAGATAGTTTCATCAGGTATTGATGACCAACCCCTTCAAATACATGTAGCTCATTTGCTGTAATTACTATAAAAATTGATTCTAGTGGGTGCTGTGTCTGATGGACCTAGAGATCCCAAGACAGAAGAGGGAGAAATAAAACCAATTTCATGTTTCGTGTAATTGGCGTCCACTGGGAAGAGATCCTGAGTCAACCTCCCCAGAGACCTGAAATCTCCACAGCTTGCTGGCAGTATCGGCTATTTGCGTCGTCTTTCCACGCCACTGTGACGCGTGAATGCATTGAGTCACATCTAGTACGACGTCATAGAGTTTTGTAGTTCCACGCTGCAAGTTTACGGCCCTTCTAGTCATGGTCTGATGCCTAGAATATGGAGGGAAAGTGAGTAAGATACTGACTTCATCTTGCCCTTACAGATTTTCCTGGGATCATTTCAATACATAAACAGCACACTGACTTCCCTCATTTGTTGTGACTTTGAGAACATGCTCTTCATCAAATCATCAACCTCTCCCGAGCCCTCTAACACCTGTCTCGTCATCCATCTGAGTTACCTGAGGGTGCCATCGCCAGCTCACTCATAAACACATCAGTCGGTGGGATATTGCCGTAATTGGTCAGTTCTGCTTTCCAGAAAAGACAAATGGCCAAAGTGATGCTGCTGTTGGCAGAGTATAGCTTCAGGCCTCTTGGGGTAAGAGAATCACATGAGGCATCACTGTTTGGTAAAAACCAAATGAGCAAACGAGAAGCCCTGACTTGTGCACCCAGCGTTTACTCTGCTGGTTATGAAGACGCGGATTTCCTGATTGTGTGTGTGTGTGTGTGTGTGTTTGTGCCCAACAAAAAACATGAAAAATTTAAAGGAAATATCTTACTGTTTGCTTACGAGTCATGTATAGTGCTGTATAGTGACTGAAACTCAGTAGCCATTTATATGCTCATGGCTTATCGCACTGTGGTGGTGGGCAGCCATCAACCCCCCATTTTGTCTCTTAAGCTGTGCAAACAGACCTGGCTGCCTGAAAAGCACTCTGTTCATATTAGTGGCTCCCCCACTCTGGAGATAAGGCTAAATAAAAACGCATAATCATTTCCCCCTTTCTGTCTGTGATGGCAGGAAGGAGTCAGACATTCTCCCGGGAGATTGCTCTCACACCAGAATGGACTTTTGTGTGTGTGTGTGTGTGTGTAATCTTCCTTTCATATTTGGACTAGGCAGCATGTGTGATGCAAATGGAAACGGAGGTGGTTTTACTATGTAAAGTGAAGGCAGAGCTTCAGGAGAAAAAGCTTTTAGAGCTACATTTGAGGTGAACAGGTAGATGCCTGCAGTAAGTAGATTTCCACCATCATGATTTGTTCAAGTTATCGTTCTCAGCTACAAAAGTTCTGCAAATTGCCCACGTCTTACCTAACAAAGTCGCAGACATCATTAGCACCAGCATCAGTTGGAAAAGTTGGTAAAACCGAATAAGATGAGAGAAAAAGTTTTAAAAATCACTGGTCTCCTTCTGGTCCTATTACCTTGTCCTTGATGGCAACTCAAACACTTTTCCCCACAGTAGGAGCCCAAACTGCTCTTCTGGAGAGCATTAGCTGGGGTTTATTGGACTGTGCAAACCTTAACTGTCTGCCCTTTCCCTTATCTGGGGGCTGTTACTTTCTCAGTGTTTACCCACAAACACTGGAGCAAGCTAATGAGTTTGTCTTGTGCATACTGTTGTTTCTTGCCATTGACTTTTATTGTCAGTTGAGTAAACGCAGAGAGGTTGATGACTGGAGTAGAATTAACTAAATGTTCAGGGTAGCCACCGTTAGCTGGTGGAAATGGGTGATTACAACAGATAGCACCCATGAATGGGAGATTTATTCATTATTTAATCACTTTTAGCTACTGCCCCTCTTTTTTCAACTTATCAAATTGTTAAAAGCTACTTTTTTCCAATTTAGGTTGTGTTTTGTCGTTTTGCTCCAAATTGGATGCCACTGGGTGAAAAAAAACAACTCTGCACTAATTGCCCCTCAATATCAGTTTGAATTATGGTACAATAATTCCTCAGAAATGGTCAGTGCAATCAATGTGTAATACCACAATCCACTTACAGCCTTTATGTGGTCATATAAACTTTAACTGCTTGTTTATTGTCAACAGCAGCAGAGGCCGCTCTACCGAGGCTGTCAGTTGGGATTTATGTCTAAATCAAGTTTTTGACAAGGGTTTAGGGACAGGACAAAGGAAAACCAACTGTTTTTTATGACTCCATAAACAGCACACCAGCATCCCCGGGGAGCCCGGCAGGACAACATGTAGTGTGGTGTTATGTTGGATGGCAACATGACAGTTTCTTTGATTTGTGCATGACCTAACAGTGAGCCTGTACAATATTATCATTCCTTTTAGTTGTGTGCTCTCTAGCTGAACAATATGTTGCTATTCATGTACCTTCAAGATAATAATGCATTCTCTCGAGAGTGAGCTATTGAAGTATCCATGTAAACCAGTGGTTAAGATGCGTACCATATAGTAAACTGTTATTGCAACATTCACTTTTTGATTTCGGCAAGGGACCATCGTTGCGTATCCCTGTCATGTTTCTTCCCCCCATGTTTGCAGTAGAGGTCCATCAGTAAATGTTAAAACGTCCACAAATGAAATTAAAGGAAAGCAACTGCATCAGTAAATCTCAGAGAACCAATGTCATATTGACTTTCCTGATACTTTTGCAAATACGGTTACTGAACAAAACATCTAAACTTTTTACATACGCCGGTTCTTTGCTGCAATTTTATCGGCTGCAGAATAAAACTGCAGCTAGGTTTCTCACGTATACATTATATGTAGGATACATAGAGTGTAACTCATATATGGGATGAATTTCCCCATGTACAGAAGTCAAAAAGCATTTATTGTTGTGGCTACATGATTAAGAACCACATGCTGGTCTTCCTCTGTGTCAAATCAACATACAAAGACTGTAAATGTAAAAACTAAAAGAGCATGCTTCCATTACACATGAGAAATTACACAACCATGTCTGGCTTCCTCAAATAAATGTATTTCACAAAGTCTTTGATACTGAAAATGAGTTTCAATTAGTCCCTACAATTTCATTCACATCAGGGCAGGAAATAGCTTCTGAAGTAACATCTAGAGCACACAGTTTCAAAACTGAGGCAAACGCTTGTTAATGGCAGGATTATCCACTGTGTCTCTGCAGTGGTAGGAGAAAATGGGATGCATATGGCCTTTAAAAGATTCATTACAGTTTTGAAGACGGCACAAAATCATCTGCACATCTCCGCCCTGCGTGCAAACAAACCCCTCAACGTGTGCACACAGTCCCAGAGAGATGACTGCACCTACACTGTGGGTTGAGGGACGACTTCAGGCGTCATGAACCGAACAGTAGACCGTGAAGATCCAAGACAAACATTCGCTGCAGCACTGGTCATAAATGTGGCCGATTACATTAGACTCAGCCTCAGCACTTGAGACCTGAAAGGTATTTGTGTACACAACGTCTTTGTGCGAGTGTGTCCTCGTGTCATAACAGCGTCGTTGGTCCAACCCCCACCCCCCCCCACCCCTCTCTGGTTATATGAATTTGGAAAGGCAGCATGTAAGGGTTAAAAAAAAAGTGATATTTGATCCACAAACGCCTCAGTGAATCATTTCATCCAATCAGAAGAGAATCACTATGCTGAAAATGACTTTCCCTGACGCATGCTGCTGCTGATGCTATTTCCATGTGAGCGTGTGAAACAGAATAGCAATATTGATCTGTGGACACTGTAGCCTATGACCTCCACCTCCAGACCATATTAAAGCCTTTATCACCACATGAATAATGTATGCAGGAATGATGAGTGGATAGAAGGCTAAAGGTGTCCGAGCTAATGATCAGACGAGTTAGGCGACATCATCCCTGAGGGGGATCTCTGTCATATTAATGAATCAACTTTAATTAATGTGCATTCGTCCAGTCCTTCACAAATATTTTGTTTTCAATCTCCAAAGAAGAAGTTATAAAACAGTTTTCTATATATTTTGGAATGTAATTTTGGTGGTGGTTTTTTCCTATCGCATACTCTGTGTATCTACCTGCAGATTAATGTGTTTGTTCATTAATCACCCATGCACAGATTAAACTGGAGTCAATAAAACAATTGCAGGACTCTGATTACAACCGCCTGTGTACTGCAAGAAATGCACCCTAACTAATTAATTAAAAAAAACCTAATTATCCTGCCTGGAATTCATGTTAGCGTCACTGTCATGAATATATCAAATAGCAAATGCACCTAAAATGCAATAATCATTTCACATTTCTGTAAAACTGGAGAATGCTGAGCTCAATAAAGCTCAATAATAGCATTTTGTATGAAAACCTGATACAGCTGATCACGTACATTTTCTAGATTTATATAAACTTTTTGAAATTGATGTCTTATATTCAAGTCACAAATATCAAGCTAATATTGTGAAAAGTATATATTTTCAACAAACTTGGACAGAAATGACTTACTTCCCTTATTTACAGGGACATGCTTGACAGGTATTTCCCATCCCATACACTGTGTATCTACCTGAAGATTAATGTGTTTGTTCATGCACAGATTACTTGTGAGTCGCTTTGGATAAAAGCGTCTGCCAAATGAGTAAATGTGATGCAATGTAAATGAAAGTTATAGTAAAAACAGACAGATTGCCATGTTTGAATATTCTCGACAAAATGCAGATATCATGAGAAAATGTCTGGTGACAGAAGAAATGATCAGACTACAGCTTCAGACTGTGATAGTGTGTTTTCTCTGTGGCAGGATAGCAGGGTCAGTCCTCCCATCTCTCTCCATGTGCCGCCACACTATGGTTTCTGAAGGGCTGTGCCTTTGTTTCAAGTGTGGAGGGCCAGTTGTGTTATTTTCTGATGGTTGGTGTGATGTGGTTTCTCCGCTCCAGCTTGAGCCATTTCAAGGAAGAAGGCTGGTCGGCTCAATAAGCCAGTTGTTATTGTGACTTTAATGTACATAAATAGAGGATTGTTTCCCAAGTTTAGACATGAAACTTAGTGGGCTGAGGCTAGTGCTACCTTTAACCTGTGATTTCAACTGATAAAACACGGGGGGGGGGGGGGGGGGGGGGGGGGGGGGGGGGGGGGGGGGGGGGGGGGGGGGGGGGGGGGGGGGGGGGGGGGGGGGGGGGGGGGGGGGGGGGGGAGACTATTTTATTGCGCTGTTCGTGGTGCTGAACGAGCAGCCTGTTGGCATGTTTTCCTCACACCATCACAACAATACTTCATTTTTATTTTTTTATTTTTTTGAAAGACTCGGGGAAATAAGTTTTTTTTTTGCAATGTTTATACTCAACAAAATAACCTTCAGCTACCAAGGGAGTCAAGTTCAGCTGTGAGTGTGTCCTCCAGCTTTGGCAGAGATAAGTGACCCCGTGAAGGATGGTGCCGGAGGAAAGAGCGAGGGGTGTGGTTAAGTGTTACTCGGTGCGCATCAGGTATCCGTCCCACACTATATAACCCTGTGAACCGAAGGGAGAGCAGCGAGACAAGGGGCAACACCGGGGTGACTACACCAAGAGACAACTGTCAAAAAGTAGGTCCTCTTACTTTTCTGATACTTTGCTGCATCTTGAATTTTTAACCGCATCCTAGAAAGATTTTTTTTTGCATGTTATTTATTCATGAAATAATGTGGGTTTTTTTAATATAATATTTGAAATACTTTAAAGACATTTTGTGCATTAAGGTAGGCTATTTATGTGAAATGGAGCAGAAACGTAAACACAAAGTTAGTTTGAAGATAAGAAGCAAGAACAAAATGACATTTTACCATGGCATCTCTCCCTCTCCTCAGATGGCCAACATGTTGAGATCGTGGATGATGCTTGCAGCGCTCGTCTTCTGCCTCCTCGTGTGTTTGAGCAGCTTTGCGGACGCTTACCCTCCCAAACCAGAGAGCCCCGGGGGCAACGCCTCACCGGAGGACTGGGCCAAATACCACGCGGCTGTCAGGCATTATGTTAACCTCATCACCAGACAGAGGTGAGTCCGCTTTACCAAACCAAGTTACAAATGTGTGTGTGTGTGTGTGTGTGCGTGTGTGTGTGTGTGTGCGCGCTTTCAATTTAGACTTATAAAATGAACTAGAGTTAGAAAGCTATACAGATTCACATCCATCCACTTTCCAAGTTCTGAGAGTAATTAACTCTCAAATCAACATATATGACCTGGAAAAAAAAGAGGAGAGATCGAGGGACTAATAGATGCTGAAAACATGCATTTCTTTGGTAACTTTTCATCCTCTGGTTGGGTCAGACAGATAGTCCACCTCCCTTGATGTGAGGGATTAAGTCTGGCTCAGGGACAATTTGGCAGAGATAGCCACAAGCAGGATCGAGCTCTCTCCCAGTGCATGAATTCACTCACACTAGGCCTGTTTTTCATCCCAAATAAAACCCTTTCAGATACTAGTTAAGAGCTCATCCTTTCTTTGGAAAGCCAAGGAGCACCCTTGGGTCATTATGCTTAAGTTACAAAGCCTTGCTGTTGTTCCTCTGATGGGTATATAATGTTTAGACCAGGGAGAAGCTAACAGCTCTGTTGTGACCCCATGTCTTGTAACAGACATACAGCAACACCAGATATCCTAATAATTTCCTTTTGTTTCATAGTAGGTGAATCAACTGGATCATAACACAGTATTTAATACCTACATGGTTGTAGATGTATTACACATCTTGGCTTTTGAAATGTAGCAGAGATTATTTGAACCTATAATGAAATTTCTTCGTTTTTAAGTTTGTGCTGTTTTCTTATCCGTCATACTTAAAATACCAAAAAGATTTCCGTTTTGACAAGATAGCTTTGTCAAATAACTGTTGTGTTGAATTCTGTTGCTCCATTTGGAGAAACTAGTGGGTGTACAGTTTTCCTGTGATGGAAGCAGAGTATAGTCTCATCATTAACCGTCCTGCTCTGTAATTAAAGAGGCTGGATCTGTCATTAGACTCAAAGGACTGTGTGGCACCCAGTGCAGCCCCCCACATCTCAAACAAAGGAAGGTTTACTCCCTTAGTGGCTAGGCATTGATTTTGCAATGCACAGCGTTATTCTTTTTTTTTGACTGGACTGCAGAGATTGAGCAGAGAAGTGGCACTGATTAAAGCTCCACAGGGTTTTGTGGAGTTAACTTGCCTTGTTCAAAGCTGGATGAGTCTTGAAAAAAGATGTCCTGTATTTGAAATTCATAACAAGGCTGGTGGGGGTCACAGGAGCACCCAGTGAAATGCTGAGTGAGTGACTGTTGATGTGCAGCAGAGAGGCGCTTTCACATGAATGAGAATCTCATATTAATGTTGAGTGGCAGTCATTACATGCTGGTGTTTGGTTTTCTCCAGGTATGGGAAGAGGTCGACCCCGGAGCAGGCGGTGGCGTGGCTGCTGTTCGGAGCTGATTCAAGCCAAGACACTGAACCACGGTGAGAGAAACAGATAGAAAAAACATCTCTGTTTAATCGCTGTGGGCTTTTTAGGATCCCTAATGAAGGGTGATTCATGTATTCTTAAAATACAATTGGCCTCTGAAAGACAAATCCATTAACAAAAAAAGAGAAAAATTCAAGAAAGCAAGCAAATCAATATATAAACTGTTCATTGAAGAACATCATAAATGCAGCTGTACCAATATTCAAGAAAAGCCCCATCAGTCAAACTCTGTGTCCTAAGTTATGATTTTACATGTCACAGTAATCAGTTTCTTCTTATTAATTAATCAAGAAGATGCAATTTAATGAGACAAGACCAACATAAAATGGACCAATATTTCATCTCCTGTTAGCAAACAGTCTGAATTGAAATAACACATTATCACTGCCATCTACAGTAGTGCAAAAACATTTCTGCTTAATGCATCCTGCCATATATGAGGCTATACATCTGGCTGCACCCACCCCTATTTAAAATCTTTAAGAAACAGACCTGTTGGTGCAGCATATTGCTTTACCGCCGTAATCCTTTCTGCAGAAGGATCATGTTGCTGTTGTTTAGTTCCTTGTTAATATTCTTTGCTCTTGTTCCATGACATTGTCACAATGTCACGATCACATACTTTGACAGCTGAGCTGGTGATCTGAAGAGAAAAAAAGGACCTGAATCCTTTGCAAAAACCCGGTTTTCTGATGAATGATTGCTCATAAATTGTGATCTTATCTTCATCTAAGTCGTAAATGTAGACAAACACGGTGTCCCTAAGCTAATATCACACAAACAGTTATGATCTTTTGCATCTTTATTGAACACACAGTGCTGGTGGTTACCTCCATCGGTAGCAATAGCCTCCAACAAACACTTCCTGTAGCTGCTAATCAGACCTGCACAATGTACAGAGCTGCTTAACCTCAGACATATTCTTAGGATTTCTTGTGTCAGCGGCTCTGCTCCGTTAAGGTTAACGTTTGGGCTCTGACTCTCCAGCAGGTGGACTTTCTTTGTTTGAGGTCATCCAGTGGTAGAATAACTTTGATTGTGTGGACAGCCACCATACACCATGCTTTGTGTGTGGAAGACCTGTGAGATATTAACCAGCTCCAGTGATTCCTTTAAGCCTTTAGCTGTTACTCTGACATTACTGTACATTCTGCTCTGTGCTTTTGAAGTTATCTTAGCTGGAGGCCCTATTTTTGGGAGAGTAGTCACAGAATTAAATCATCTCTATTTATAGACAGTTTGTTAGACTGTGGACTGATGAATCTCTAAACTCTTTGAGATGACTCTGTAACCTTTTCAGCTTTATGCAAATCAGCACTTCTCGATCGTAAGTCATCTGAGATCTCTTTTTTTGGCGATGCATAGTTCACATCAGCAGATGCTTCTTATACAAAAGTAGCTCTAACCAACATCTCCAATCTAGTTTCATTCACTGGACTCCATCTTTGATAACTCCCGACTCCATTTAGGTTTTGTTGATGTTATTAGCCACGGGTTCCACATATTGTCTCCAGCCTATACTGTGGATGTTTGAATGTTTTTTTTTCAGTATGGACAAGAACAATACAATGATTTTATGTGTCATTAGGTAAAATAGATTATGTTTGTTCATAATTGTAACTTGGATGAAGATCTGACCATATTTTAGGACAAGTTTATACATAAATGGAGGTAATTCTGAAGGGTTCTCTTACTCACTACTTTTTCTTGAAACTGTATTAGGATGCATCAAGTGTAAATTTCATTTAATTAAACAGCATTTTCTCTTCTCTTTCAGCTCGGACTACAACGATCAGTGGTAAAACACTCCGACATTAACCCTTCCCTGATCCTTTGATTAAGCAACAATGAAAAACACTGAGATTTTCAAAAGACAACCTGCACTGGACTTTGTGACTGCGTATTGGATTTGTTAATGTGCATGCAAATCTCTCTCTCTCTCTCTCTCTCTCTCTCTCTCTCTCTCTCTCTCTCTCTCTCCCTCTGTTTATCTGCTCCTCTCCATACGTCTATTTGTTAGTTGGCCAAAAATGTAAATAATTTGTATCAAAATCAATTACTTTACAATGAAGACTTGAATGGAATAAAAGTATTAAACAGACACACACATGCTTTGGTAGTCCTTCTTTTTACAGACTGCACTTGCTCTTGTTGCCACTAGATGCCGCTGTATCCCCAGGAAACGTGCACTTTCAAGTTAGTCTATCCTATTGCTGGTCTTGTATGGGTTCATATCGACGGCAGCGGACAGGCTTCAACTTCAGACAGGGGTACCACACCGAAAGACGCGTTTGTTATCACAAAACCGTCCTTGGCGTCCTTTGGAAAAACCGGATCAGAGCGAACCGAGCAGCCAATATAGGTTCTAATCAATGGATGCTATTTGTGAGGGCAGGCGAGCCGTTTTAGGTTAAAGATAGCAGTTTGTGTGGGTTGCCGTTGGCTTCAGTGTTGTGAAAGTGACTGCATACATTAAACAAGACCTGCCGTGCTTCAACAACTGCAACTCGACCAGTGGAGATATCTCAAACCCTCTTGCTGCATCTCAGACGAAGGTAACCGGACAGGTGAGCGCTTTCAACCTTTCGCTGTTTTTATTTTTCACGGAGAAAACGTGCTGTTCAGTTTGATGTTAGTAGATAACGAATATGCCGTTTTTCAATCAAAGCCTTGCCAGAGATGTAGTCCACCTTCCCCACTCGCCAGGTGGCTACTGGAAGGCTACATGCAGGCAGTTATTTCATGTCTTCTAAGTAAGACCTCCCGAACAGATGAAGTCTTATTACCCGCATAATTAACGCTAAAATCCACTTATTGTCAAACCTCGTGGACCATTTTATCGAAGTTACGCACATTGGGCACGAGAGAGCTACGCAATTCCCCCTTCCACGGTCTCGTGCGCCTTATTTGTTCCTCAATCAGTAGCTACATGTCATTTTTTTTTGTTAAGCTAGCTTAATTGACCCCAGGCTATTTGCACCTGTACAGCGACCACAGGTAAAACACAACTACAGTATCGATGACAGCTTTACTAAGAATTACCACAGCCTGAACGAGGGAAATTGAATCAAATTATAATGTTGATAACAATGAGTGGATGCACGTCATGCACCTGTTCTTTGCCATTGCGCATGCCCAATCAGAACGTGCACAGATGTTAGAGCACATGTGGACCAACACACACACATAGAGACGAACACACATATATATGTGTGTATGTATGTATGCGTGTCTGTGTGCACTGACGGCTATATACAAAAGCTAAAATGAGAATCAAATATAAGGAAACAAACTAATTATTTTTCAAAAACTGCCACTGGCAGGGAATACAGTTTCATTTATATATAAGCACGACCCAGTTATTCACTCAGAACACGAATCCAAACATCACTCTATCTTCAATAATTGTTGTAATGGTTCACTATTTTAAAGGCATGTTATTTTTCCAGGTCCTTATACACTGTGTCATATTTCTTACCCAGCCACTGATGCTCGGCGGGATATTATCACCTTAAAATGGTCCATAAGGTGAAAGTTTTTTTTAAACATTAGTTATTGTTCCCTGAAAACTTTATCTAAATGACAGAAATATTAATAAATGAATAAATATTTGGGTTTCTGTTGATATTGATTCAATTGGACATCCATCTGTTTAACTTGATTTTCAGTTTGTTGTCTTTTATGTTAGAAATGGTCACAGCTGCATTCACTGAAACAAGAGTATACTGACTGACAGTGTCACACTGTGAGGACTGTTTATCACTGGGGAGGAATTATTCAAATGTCCTCTATCAGCAAGAGTTAATGTATCTCCAGTGATAGTAGAGACACTATCCAGTTGTGTGCAGGGATGAGAAAGGGAAGATTTGACGGTTATTAACAAAACATCAGTTTACATGTAAATTTATTTCATAAATTACAACATTAAGCCTTAGCTTTTTGAAACTTAAAATGTTTGTGTATGTGTACGTGGTTGGGAATTTATGTTGTCAATTCAGTATGAATAAAAACCTTTTAAAGATTGTGCCCTAGACAAAAGAGCTGCCAGGAATGATAATGAAAGCATAAATGAAAATGTTTTTTAAACATTGTTCTATATAAAGAGTCCATCTAGTCTATACAGGTCTATACATGACTGATCTGTAAAGCATCTGTTGCACAAAGGAACTGAGAATGATATTGTTGTTTTGGAGCAGTCTTTTGAAATCAAAGCTCATATTATCATGAGCATTTGGTGCAGTTTCACTAAAATATGCGTAATGTATAGTTACTTATATCAAAATGAAAATCCCCCCTGCTGGATTTTCATATGACACCACAGATAGGTCTCATTTTTAAGAGTTTTTGACTGGGATTAAAGAAACTTCAGCCCTCTTATCAGTTTCTGTTTTGGAAGTGGGAGGTTTACCATAAATTTCCCTGCTTTTGACAGCTTTGGGGATTGGCTACAAGATCAGCAGGTCTGGTTCTACCTCGACAGAACCATAGTCTAAGCACTTCTTTAACGATTTAAGAACTCTGCTTGAAATCAGACTCCTTAGACGTTGAAAAATATGCTCTCCGCTCTAAATGCTCTAAAGTTTTTCAGGAAGACTGGAATTCATTTTGTACGAGACATAAAATTGGATCGAATCAGAAAAAATGGCAGCATGGTAGTGTAGACAATGTGACCGTGACATATCTGAGCCTCAGAGTAATGTATACATGACATTAAATTAATACAAATCCTTTAACATTGGTCATTAATTCAGAAAAATTCAAAGAGCTATCCCTGTGTGACCCCTGATCCTCGCCCAAATCTTATTATACAGAAGAAGTCAGATGTCATCCTGGTTATTTGATGTCACAAACAGAATAGTCTTCATAAGAACACCTTCAATGGTGCCTGACCGTGACACTGTTCAGTTTTACTGCTTTGATAGACTGAATGATAAATTACTGCATCAAACAGGAATTCTAATCAACTGTAGCTGGCAGAGTGAAAGGCTGCAGAAGCAGAGCCCATCCACACTCGATTCCACTGGGAGATTAATCAGTGGCGGTTCACGTAGTCTCAGCATCTTTTGCCCAACCTCTTCGGTGTCGATCAAAAAAATGACCTGCCCATTTACTCTCACACCTGCCACCTCACCCCCGGCCGGCACAGGTCTCCATGTACAGAGGCTGTGCTGTGAGAACTGAATTATGTCATTTTCATTACTGTATTTGTATATGTGGATTTTTAATGTTATTTTGAATATTGTTTGCCTTGCAATGTGGCTCTAGGGATGGCAGAGTCTGTCAGTCCAGACTGAAATATCTTGACAGAAATACTGGATGGATTGCTTTGATGAACAGAGTGTCCTAATGGCTTTGGTGATTCTCTTGACTTTTCATGTACCAAATGTTCACTTTTCAAAGTGAAATATTTCAACATCTACATGATGGATTGGCACAAAATCTTGCACAGACATTTATATTCCCCAGAGGACAGTGACATCTGACTTGGAAGGTTCCCTGACTTTTCCTGGCGAGCCACCATGAGGTTGACTTCTGTCGTTTTGAGCAAAATGTCCAGACAGTTTTTGATAGATTGCCCTGAAATTGAATACAAACATTTACGTTCACTTTGGTGATCCTCTAATTTTTTTTTTTTTATCTTTCAGTACCATTGGGTTAAAATCCGCATTTCCATCAGGCTCAGCTTTACTTGTGTAGTGTGTTTAATGCTACTTAACAAATGTTAGCCAGGTAACATGCTAAGTTAAGAGGTTGAACATGGTCATCATTACCTCAGCAGCATGTTGACATTGTCATTAAGAGCATGTTAGCATGCTGACAATACCATATAGCTCAAAGCCAACATATAGCCTCACAGAGCTGCAAGCATTGCTATAAACTCTTAGTCTTATATTGGGCTGACATTCAATATCTTTACACCAGGCTCACTGAAATGTCTGATCTTTAATAAAAGCCAGTATCAGCCAAATACATGGGCAAGCCAGTGTAACCATCTTGCACTAAAAGTGGAGATTTTCTCTGTAATATTTGGGCTGTAACCACCAGAGAATGTGTCAAGAGAGATTTGAGTGACATTGAGACAGTGACATTCATTTAGTCTATTCCATCATGGCTGCTTCCTCAAAAAAATGAAAGGAGTGGGGACCTTTAATGAAGTCCAGGTAGGGTGGTGATTGTAAATGTTCCCCGGGTGGCTCTCAGCACTTTGCCTGACTCCTTTAGCCTCTCAGTGGTATGTACATGACATTTAATTCTAATTACACTAATCTGTATGGGGCTGAGGGGAAAGGAAGACTCACAACACTAAGATGAACAGCATTTATTAGATGTCTTGTTTTCAGGTTTTATCTGTTGATAGTGATCAATCTTGTGTTATGCTGACAAAAAAAACATAGTTCTTACTTTTCTAACTGTTTGAGAATCTCTGAGTTGTTCATGTTTCTGAGTTGGCTAATGAGTCCCCAAGCTGTTAGCTGATGGTTAATCATTCATGATAAGATTTTTCTTGGCATGTTAAGATGAAGCTTCATAGTAACTTTATGCTCAATATGCATCAAGGAAAAATACATCAAATGTTCTTTTCCACGCAGTTACACAGTTTGTGTACACCTTGATTTTTGAAATCGCTCAAACATTCAGCACTGACTACTTTAAACCGCTTTTGAATTTATACTCTCCTTCAAAGGACTTCAACATAGACTTTAGATTTTTTGTGGCATTTGTAGTGACTTGGGCGTGATGCAAGATTGAATGAATTGCTTTAATACTGTCTTTTGAGAAAGTTTAGTCTGACAACAGGGAA